CAAACTACTCTCTGGGAATCTACTAGTCCATTCATAGGCCGTCCCACAAACCAGCCCATCATTTACCAAAATTTTTGTAAGCTGCCCAGCCATCTTTGATAATATATATTTTGAGGCCACTGGCAGTCCTAATGATTGCAAGATGGCTCTCTAGGGAAGGCTTTGGTCTTAACTCTAATTGTTAAAGAAAGGATACATTATTTTTATTATGCTTCAGGATCTCGGACGGCAGTTGAAGTCAGCTCCTGTGGACAGCCTGACTCACAAACTGGCCATTTGTTGCTGTATACTGAACCACAGTGGTGGTGGCCTGAGAGCTCTGGCCCATCTGTGGCAGGAGTTTGTACTGGAGATGAGATATAGATGGGAAAATGACTACTACATTATAGGGTGAGTGTATGGTTCTAAAGTTCTAAATAGGCGAGAAAATGTTTTTAACGATAGTAAAAAAAGAAAGGTCAAATTTTTTGCAAAAACTTTTGATTTTCTTTTATGAGATAAATATCTTTGTAGCAATTTGTTTGTGTGCCAGGAAATTGACTAAAGGAAGGCACACAGGAAAACAACTATATATTACAAAAAAAAAAAAACAAATAAAAATAAATTGCCTGGTTTGCATCTTTATTTTGCCTACGATGTTATTAAAAGCTCTGTAATTTCTCAAACCATTGATTCTTTTCAGTTTAGAAAAAGGTTCACCTAATCTAGGAACAAGTTTACTTCATCAGAAGTTACAGGTAATAATGCATAAATTAATTAATTCACTGCAAATTTCTTTCTAATGAAACGACCAAGTTCAAGACACAAGAAGTTATTGCCTGATGTAAAGATAAAGAAAATCTCAGATCCCATCCTTGTCCCCAAAACTAGTTGTAACATGCTTAACTGTTTCTTGCATAAGGTTTTAGTTTATCGGCTGAGCCTTTGCCCACTGATAAGATTCAACATACTCTAGGCTCTGGTGTATTTTTTTTATGAAGTTTGAAAAAATGTTTTTTAAGTACTTGCATTAAATGCAGCAAATTTAAGTACAGGTGAAACTTGACCTCGTCTTACTTTCCAGATGTTGAATTGTTGTATTGATAGGAAGAAAACGAGGTCTGCACTTGGTCTGGAGGTCAAACATACCTCTATATCAGATAACATTGAAGAGTTAGGTAAGCAAGTTAAGTCTTCAGTACAGGACACGAAGGGTAAAAACTTAGAGAAAGACACTGGAAAAGATGCAGCAAAGGAGAAAGAGGGGGAAGATGATGACGACGACGATGATGATGAATTTTATGAGTGCCAAGAATCTATGAGTCAGGTATCTTTAGCTAAAAAGACATCTGTGGCTGATTCAAGTGACAGTGCGTCTTTGCTAGGAGAAGACTGTGATAATGAAGAGGCTATCAGCCTTGCCTCAGATCTCAGTGGGTCCACAGATGTCAGGTATGAAGACTCAGTGACATTGCAGCCAGAGGGGCGTCTCAGGCCGTGCGGGGAGTTGAAATTGTTGAGAAGGGACGAGATTCTCTACATTCCTGTCACTCAGGAACCTGCCCCCATGACTGAGGACATGCTGGCAGAGCATGCTGAAGTGCTAGCCAAGTAAGTGGATGTAAATAAGTGGCCTCCACAAACAAAGATCTATCAAGGATGCACGTTTACAACCATTGTACAATGCTTGGCTGTTTGTTTCTTCATTGCTATTTTAAAATGTTGCTTTAATATAATATGTTTGTTGCACATTGTTGTATGATGTTAGGGGTGGTAGAAAGAGTTTTTTTTTAATCAGCATTGCATTCTGTGTTTCAGTCTGGGGTCATCAGTAGAAGGCACACATCTGAGAGCGAGGATGCAAAGTGCTTGTCTGTTGTCAGACATGGAGGCTTTCAAGGTAAGTTCAGGCGGTGGAAACGCGCTACTTATATGATTAAGACAAGCCTAGCCGTCAGTACCGGATATTGTTTTGTGACCTTGAGGAGCAATTAGGTTTGGTCTTTGCGGCACGCATGAACAGTAGTCGAACTACCACACCTGGGTCTTTTGTTTTTGACAACTGTTCACTCGTCATCGAGGCGCTTGTTCAAGACTACAGGCTGATATCTACTAGTACTACCAGTGGCTTCATTAGTAACGTTCCCACAATACTTAGTTTTCTGTCTGTGCGTACATACCCTGAAAAAAGCCAGCCTCGCTGACGAGAACAATGGACGTTTCTCACCCCTCTCTAGGATTACCCCTGGTAAGTTAGTTAACTGAGATGTGGAAAATGGTACAATCTCTAGAGTCCAGTGTGCTTTTTAATGAACATGAAATGGATGATGACAAGTTTTTTTAATCGTTTTTGTACAAAATGTTTCAACATGGGTAGAATTTATTAAATTTGAAAAAATTTGACATCTATAAAATGTTGCAAAATTAAGTTTTTTTATGAAATATTGCAAAAGTAATAAATGTAGATGAAATATATGAAATATTCCAAAAGGAGATGAGAGTTGTTTTTTTAATCTACTGCTGTACTCAAAGTGTTATCAGTATTTACTGTTGTTTTTGAGGCTGCCAACCCTGGTTGTATCCTAGAGGATTTTGTTCGCTGGTACTCCCCTAGGGACTATATAGAAGAGGAGGATGCAGACCAGGATTCACAAGGAGAAAAGAAAGGTAAAGAACTTTATATCTACGTATTGGGCGGTTTAATAACATGCAAACCTGGGCTTGCTGTGGTTACTCTTTATGTCACTGAAAGTCATTTGTTTCACTATAATGTTAATTAAATTTGGAACTAGTCTACATGATTTAACAGACTAGTGAGGTGGATTCGTTATCCATATTATCATCTTCATTTTATTAAATCTTTAAGCCCTACAGCTCATCAGAATGATATATAGTATAATTATCATCTTATTATTTTTGAATAGCTGGCCACAATTCTGTAACACTTGATATGGTATATATGTTGATAGTAAGAAGTTTTTTGCTCAGGTCAACTGAGTCAGCGGATGCAGATCCCTGGCAACATGTGGGTTGAAGTCTGGCATAATGCAAAGCCAGTACCAGTCAGGAGACAGAAGAGACTCTTTGATGATACTAAGGAGGCAGAAAAGGTAGTTTTTATTGTCAGATAATTATATTCATGCACTGGCAGTAGGTTAATCTTTTTAATTCAGATTAGTAAGGAGTGTGTGTCAATTGTGAGTACTATGTATTTGATTTAACTTAAATATTTGAATACATTCAAGTAAAATAGCCTATTTTTATAAAATGGACTGAGTATCAAACAGAATTGTCATGTTACAACCCCCTTGTTTGTATAGTATGGCTTTGTTAAAATATTTCGAAAATATATTTCAAAAATATGTGTTTATTTAAGAATTTTAGATGAGAGAGATATAATATGATGACAGCAGTGTCCTGTTGGCGTGGTAAAATGATTGCTTTTTTTTTTTTTTTTTTTTTTTTTTTTTTTTTTTTTTTTTTAAGGTTCTCCACTTCTTAGCCTCCCTGAAACCAGGTCAGCTTGCCCTTCATTTGATGCCAATGCTTATTCATGGTGCTATTATCAAACTACAGGAAAACAGTAAGTATCTACAAGTACATATACCTATATTATCATTTGGCTCAAAATATGTAGAAAAAAAAATTAAATGAAAATAAGTACTTCAGTTGAGTTTTGTGAATTTTTAGTTGAAATATTATCATTATTTCATTATGCATGTTAGCAAAATGTTTCTTTTCATCAAATTCCAACTTCATATTGATAGAAAATTGCCTTTTTCACTGTTTACTAAATTTTATAATAAAAATTTATACATTCTTACAGATGATTCCAGTATACCCAGCTTAAACACATTACTTCAACAGATCCAGACCAAAAGCAGTAAAGTTACCAGAGCCCCAGATCAGGATGTCAAAAAATACGAGGTGGGCACTATATTTGGATCTGTAATACTTGTCAACCCTCTTTGTGTAAGCTAGATAAAACAAATTAATGACTATACATTCACTGACATTGTTTGATCCAGGGACAAGAATTAAGAGCTCATTTCTTCTTTAATTGCTATTTTCATCATCATCATCTCTCCCACACAGGATCTCCTAAACCAGCTGAGGCTAGCAGAACTGGTCATAGCCAGGGGCAGGTCTCTGAGGAATAAGTTTCAGTGGGAGACAGAGGACAAGGCACACCAGGGCCACATAGAGGAGTTTGCCTCCAAATTACTGGAACAGCCAGAGGTTGAGGTGTCGGGAGGGGCCAGGGGCCCAGCAGGGGCCATCATACATAAATTGTTTGCCGAAGCACAGAAGGTGGGTGAAAGCTGGGATTTTGATAGAATCTTTGACAGAGAGTTTGTTGATAGAGGCTTGGATTAGGAAATCATTTGGATTGAATGAAAAATGGTTAATTCCCAAATTGAAAAAGTGTAAAATACTTCCAGTATGTAGTGTGTGCAAGGAAAACCTCAATATCTTGAGTGTGGAAAGAGAAAGTCTCTTGCCTAACTTTAAATTGGTGATATTTGGTAATGAGACAGAAGTAGTTTGATCAATGCTCCATCTACACTGGTCATGATTCTTTTTGATACATGGATACTCCCTTTTTATTGACAATGTGCAATATGATAACATTATTTGTGCTAACGTCAATGCATGTCTTCTGTTTTTCAGAGTGCAAACATGATGGTGAATGGCATGCCTGTGTCTCCCGAGGACAACATCAAGAATGGGTCGGACTTTCCTAAGCCTGCAGGCAGGGAGTACATCCTTAGGACAGTTGTACCACGACCAGCCCCTTACTCCAGGCCCTCGGCACAGAGGATGTTCTGTGTCCTGTTAAGAGACGAGTTCAGACTGGCAGGAGCTTTCTCCTCTGATACAACATTTACTTAAAATTATCACATTGACTGTACTTGCAGCATGCATGCCTGGGGGGGGGGGGGGGTTTTAATCAAAAACTTTTTGAGCAATTTTGCCATGGTTTTTTTGAATTTAAATGTCAACAAANAGCGCCTACGCTGGTGGTACAATAATAATAGCTTTGGAATCTTATATCAAACATCTTTTAGAGAATCCTCTATAAACATAGCATACTTCTCTGGGCATGCCCTTGACCTTGAAAATTACATACACTGAGATAGTGTAAAACAGTTCACAATTCAATAAATATGACCTCAGACTATTTTGCTCTTTGGTTGACTTCATGATTATCTTGACTATTCCAAAACCGGGCATTAATATAATGCACAGCAGCATCATTTAGCAAATTAGAAATAATTTCACATCATGATTTAACAAGGATTGTATCTCCATCTTCTATTGAGAAATAAGACAGTTCTTTCAAATCATCATCAAAATCATATTCTGTGCCTTGTGCCTGAAAAGACGACGATATTTATTTTAAGTTTACATAACTTGAGAAACATTATATTTTTCAAACTTCAAAAACATACTTAAATGTTTTGCCTACTTCAATTTTTCTTTTCTAAACTTGCCCTTTTTATTAGTTTCAACTAAAAAAAGTTAAAGAACTTACTTTTTGGCTTGTGTATACCAATTTAAAGTCTAAATCCCCTATCTTATACAACCGTTGTATAAGAGGCTTCAGTTTTTGAATTTTCATTGTTCCTGCAATGAAAATAAAAATACCAGTGCATTTGAATGTTAATCAATCTCATTTCCTTTTCAATCAATAGGAACATAAATAAGGTGCATGTGACACAATTCAAAATATATATATAAAACCAAAATATAATCATGTGCACAGGTGCAAAGTATGTAACTCGAGGTCCAGTCTAACAATTTTTTTTCAGCAAAAATAGTTTAGAAGGTAATGTGCTGAACTTGGAATAGCTTACTTGGTAACCTCTTCTTGATACTTGGTTTTTCTGGGAAATTTGGATTTTTTATTTCAACAGCTGCAGCAGATGCTAAGGAAAAATAGGGTTCAGAATTTTCAAGTTCAACATTTTCCTTCTTTTACTAACAAGTGCTGGTCAACCTTTACCTACTGACTTGTAACCACTCGCTCTTATTTGTTTTTATTATTATAGTTTCAGCTACAAAATAAATATATTTTATGCAGGATATCTAACTTTGATTTGATAACTTCAAGGATACATAGTAGGTCATGTTTCAATGCACCCATATTTTGCTTTTGCATTTCAGAATCTTCTGGGGGACCATATTCTGAAAAAAAAAAAAAATTAACAGGAATTATCCCATAGAGCCCCATGTCTCATGACTAAGCATAAAATCAAGCAAGATTCTTAATGATAATCTTAAGTTCTTGAATTACGTTCTACTGCATTACACTACAAATCCACTATGTTTTTGGTGTCCCTTTTGTACACTGTTAAAGTTTCAGCTTTATTGCTAAATGGTTAACCCCAACTCACACAGATTATTGCACTTTTTTTACTATTTTGATGTCACACAATGCAGGCAGCATTACTAGGATAGCTTAGATGATTTCCATTGTATGTGCAAATAACTTACGCAACTCATAAAAAGTAGCAATAATTTATGATTAGTAATATCTTTTGTCAAATATTAAAACATTCACGTCTATGAAGTGATTTCACTTTTTGTTTTATATCACAAATCTGATAGAAAAACAATAAAAAGCATATACTATTAAAAGCCTTTCTTAATCTCTGCAGTAAAGAACCCCCTGACAAATTAATAATGTCAAGCTTATTCCAGATTCTTACTGGCAACAAATTCCTGGTATCTTGGGTGTTTACAGAGGAATTCCTGGTGAGGTTTATTTTTTTCAGGATCTTGATGTCCACCCGCCTGGCGCCACTCCTGACCATGAATCTTAAGATAATCTATCTCAGCACCACGCCTCTCACCTTCCTCTACCTAATATTTGGTAAAAATGATATGTCACCCATTATCTATTCAATTAAATGATTTTACTGCTTGGCAAAGATATTTCTTTTAAATTCCGTTTCAGCTGCAGATACGACTAAGGGTATTAAAATGCTAAATCATATGACATAAAAAAATGAAAACATTTCTTTATAATGTAATTATCAAAATATTTTCCAAGTCATATTTTTTTAAATATCTATAAATCACTGGTTTCAATATCTTAATTAAATCTGATAATTTTCATATGTAGAATGGTGGTAACAAAGCAAAATAAAACACAACTTACCACAGTTCTATTACACATTTTTAATCCCTTCATTCTAGCAACAATGTTTTCCCTAACTTGTTCTACAGTGCCAGTCTCCATTATTGGATTTCTCTTGATAAGAATGTCCTCCAATACTGAGAGTTTATTCAACTCATTGAAGGAAGACCACTGAAACAAAAAATTTTAAATACTCACTGAAAACAAGATAAGTTCCTTGGAAGCTTGATAACCACCTGAAGATCATTCAGAAACAAAATCTTGTAAGAAAAGAGAAAATAATTTCCACTATTAATGATAATTAGAGAAAGGGTCTTAATGCATAAACATAGAAGATTTAATACGATAAAAATACCTCAAATAGACTGAAACAAGATAAGATATGAAAAGATATTTTGTAATCTGTCGTGATCTGTAATTAACTTATAGTTAATTGTGTGTGAGGAATAAATAGTAAAATCTTAACCTCATGTATCCCGTTATCATTCAAAGACAAACATTTCAGCGCTGGAAAATAGTGAGTGGTTTCTCCAGGCTGGACATCATTGAAAAAAATATTCACCAGTCCAGTTTTATTGAGATGCAGTGTTTCTACTCTACAATGTAAAAAAATCATGGAAATATAAATAGAGTACAAATGAAAGAAATTGATTAAATTGTTACCTGACAAAATTATACTTAAACAATCATTATGTGACACTGACATTTTAAGGATTTTTTATTTTACGAAAAATGCTCATAAGGAACTTTCTATAATACCTAACCTTTTCAATGTTCCCAGCTGCAACACACTGCTCCAGTCATCTAACTGGTTTCCCTCTAAATCTATAAGTGTTAAGTTATGTAACTGTGGTGGTGGTAGCTCTGAGATGGTACTGATGTTGTTATAGCAAACCAAAATTTCTTGGATATCTGGCCACATTTTGGAGAAATCCAGAACCTTTCACGAAAAAATGAAAATTAAACAAAAAAAATAAAAATTACTATTACATAAAATTTTAAAGTAACATAAGTAACATATAGTAGGGACTCAAAATCTAAACAATAACATAATACTCACATTTTTCTCATTTTCCAAATAAAGCAGAGATTTTTTAAATTATTTGTATAAATATGCTACAATTTGTATGTAGAATGTATTAATTATGAAAGAATACTCACCTGTCTCCAACATAACTGCATCCTGTTCAATATAATGGTTTTTAAGCACAAAAATGCTGAACACAAACCAGGTGGATTGTCTGGAAATCTTAGTTGATTTTCACTGTAAAAAGGAATCATTCATTAATTTTTAGTAAGTATTGCCTTGATGAAGAAGAGATCCAAGACACTTTATATTATCACCCTGCATAAAATTCTCATTTTTCTTATCACTTTCAAATGCTTTGAAAAATCAAAATGTTAATGAATAAAATAACTCATTAAACTTGTTAACAAATGAAATTCTAACAACAAAGGTTTTTAAACCAACCTTAAATTCAATATCTCAAGTTTCTTTAACTGAACTGCTATTTTTGCAACTTCCTCCCATGATGGGATCAAATTTTGGGATATGTCTAATTCTTCAACATTTGGGCAAGTATTTTCTAATGCTGATTCAGGTCCTGCACCAGAGATCTTCATATCCTTTAGAAGAAGGGACTTCAGTTGGTCAAATTGACTGAAATGATAAATCTGCATTTCAAAAAGATGAAATTATTAATATTAGATTTACATTCAAATAATTCTATTCTAAACAAATGCCAAATTTCCTCTTTCAACACTTTACATTTATATTTTTAAAGCAACATCACCACCCAGTACTAACAGCAGCTGCTTAAACAATATCAAGTTATACTTTTTGGCATATTCAATTACTATTGGTCTTATTTCTGTAAAGATCCCAGTTAAATATGCCTTATTCTCACCTCTGCTGAATATTGACCTTCCTTGCTCCCACCACTTCCACCACCGTTTGCTTTCCTTTCCCCTGCACATACATCTCCTCTAGGATGACCCCTGCATGCTCATCCTCCACAATCCCATATCTCTCAGACAAAGCCGCATACATACTTATACCAAAGTCTGCTTTCTTAGGCCTGAGAAAGGACCCAGAAGTTGGATGTCTGCAAATAAAGGATGGGTTTGGTTTCAAATATATATTTTCTCTTTATTGTGTATACAGTGGGTCATACAGTAACTGAGTTGGTTGTAATTTAGTGTCTGCAAAGAGTTACATCTATGTCAGACTTATAAGACTTAGTACACTTTTTGACACCTTTTATCATTTACTTTTTTAGTCACTAAATTCGAATCTATACAGGAGCTCCATTCATAACCAATATCAGATCTATGTTGTGATTTCTGTATTGGCAACCAAGTAACATTCATTTCTAATGCATGGAAACAATACACCAATTTCAACTTGTCGATCACAAACAAATATTTAGTACATGTTTTTAAAAAACACTTTAATATCATACGTGGCTGTGAAATATCTCCTCCCTTCATGGGAACCATCATGTTTCCCTCTGGTAGCATCATCCCAATCTACACCCAACCAGACACCTGTAAAACAATTCATGCTTAGTATTGTTTTTGCCTTTTACATTTAAATTTCTTGTTCAACTTTATTGCTATATACATTAACAAACTGATGATGAAACATTTGACTTTGATCTCCATCAATTATAATTTGTTTATAAAATGGAAAAGATCACACCAATCTGTTCGAATTAATGCATATATACTGTTAGCATTTAAAACATGTCAAAAATCTAAACAGAGTGTTAAGTCCATCAAATCTTATAAAATTAGCCTTTAGGTCTCTGTGGTATTACTGTACAACCATGTCATGATCGAGTTTACCTTTGGTTGGTGGGACTTCACCAATATACATAACAGTACCAAAGTACCCATCACTGTAAAACCTGCTCCCAACTGTCACATTATCCAGGCTGGGCTCCACTTCTCCCATACTGTATGTTCACGTACTGTAGACCTTGAGTATTAGAATGAAACGTAGATCAAGCTTTAGTTTTAATGAAAAATATTACTCTTATCAGTTATGATGTATTTTTTTCTTTTTTGTCTCTGACTCTTACATATATTTACGCTTCATACTGTTTACACCTTTTGAGCAACAATTGCCAGACAAATTCTGGATATCCTCCCAGACCACCTCAAACAATCAGAGCTAGCTTTCTGACTAGGATGAACACAAAATATCAACAGAATAATATTCAAAAGCAAGGTTGAGAATGGCACCTATAAAGCTGTGTCCTGGTCACCATACAGCCAAGCCTACTATTACTAGTAAGTTAAGAGTGGATGAAATGTTTCCAAACTGATTCAATCTCTGTATGCAAAATTAAACATAACAAAGCATAATATAAGTGAGTTCAAATGAACAATGCTACTAATCAATTGTATTTACATATATGAAGATGGAAAATATTTTAGTCATAACTCATATCACATAAAAACAAAATTTGTATCACTGCTTGTACACAACAATCAACATCAATTGTAAATTGTGACAAGGAAGGAGTTACACCTGTTGTAACTCCTTGGTATATTCCTTAAAATAAGCTAGTCTTTTCATTTCTCTTACCGCAAACTACCCAGATCCAACACACCAACCAAAGGAACGCTGTGTCAGTGTATTCTGGGCAACTCTCCGAGTGAGCTCCTGCACTGCTTCAGTGTTGTCAAGTAACTTGTATCGCCTGCTAATGTTAGAAATGCTACAGCTGAGTGCTACACTATCACTATTTGGTACTTCTCAACATGACTCATGGCGCAAAATTAAACCTGATGCAGTCAACTGTCGAACTGAACTAATTTAAGCCAAAAATGGACATCGATCAAAATTTTACCAAATTTTGAATTATCTTATGTTGCTACTAATTAATTGCTCAAGAAAAATTTCTACGGCACAATCACTGACAGAGTTTTTTGAACAGGTTATTGTGAAGCTTAGAGTGCGCACTCGTTTACTGCGCAGAAAATTATGACAAAAACTTCCGGCTGCAAAATATTTACGCTGTCGCAGGTTAGGTGTTCACTTTCCCAGTTTTGGAGTTTAAAACACATAAAATAACCTCTATTATAACCCATCATAATGCAAAAACCCTGCTCAAAATCGGTTAAGTAATTTCTAACAAATTTTATAAAATTCTGGCTTGAGCAGGTACGTCTCTCGACTGCAGCTAGCCATCTCTGGTGGGACGATGGCAGACGAGGTTGGTAGTATATTCTTGCAATTCTTGATTATTTTCTGGTAGTTGAACTTAAAAGTGGTTTCAAAGCGTAGAGTTTCTATTTAATATTTTGATAGCATTCAGTAAAACTGCCTCTTACATGCTGTACTGGATTCAGAACCAAATCACGCAGAGTTGCAAAATGAACTAAATTCTTTTCTTTAGCAATTTACTAGTAAAATACACTTTAGCCTGTAGTAGATAAAATATAATATTACTGTTAGTTTTATTAATTTTTTTCAGGAGCCTGAGGTTTTTGAGATTACAGATTTTACAACAGCATCTGAATGGGAGAGGTGAATAGAAAAATTACACCTATAATGAATCAATATTTTTTCCTTTATTTTTTAATTCATGTGTAATTTAGCAAACATCACCCTAACAAAAATTCATAAGTGATGACATGAAATATCTGTAATAAAGGATGTATTTTACTGTATTTTTACAGCTCGATATTTTCATCCTTCAGGTTTATTGCAAGAATAGAAGAACTTATTCATGAATGGAAGTTAACAAGCCCAGTTTCACTCTCTCCTTTAAAGAAGGTCAGTCTTTTACCCATTCAATAGATTTATAGAAAATGCAATGTACTTGCAGAGGTACTCATACACAGTCTTTGCCCTACTAATAACCAAATCCATGTATATACTACAATCCTATGGAATTAAGTTTCAAATTACCGAAATCAACTTTATTATATATATCGTACATTATATGTTGCCTGAATATCAACAAGTGTTCATTATAATGTCTTAATTTCTAGATATTGAACTTGAAAAGACATTTTTAATAATTGAAAGAAAAGTCGATAAAAATATACCATCGAGGTACACATACAAGAAGTAGGTTGTTGCATAACTGTGAGAGGCTGCCAATATCCACATCTATTTCCGATTCCAAAGTAGCAAAAAAGATCATTTCTGTATTATGGCAAGCATTAAATAAATTTAGATTCATTGCTTATAGATATTTAAGGTATGAAAAATTAACATTGGAAAACATTTATCATGCTTAGACAGTCCATTTCCACAAGTATTTGGACTGAAATATCCTGGAATGTCCCTTTTGATGTTTATCCCCAATACAAGACTTTTATAGCTATGAATTAGTATTACCATATGTTCATTATATTGAATTAATTTTTAAAATAATAAAAAAAATTATGCAAATAAAAAGCAACAGAATTTTAAAAATGAAGTTGAATTGAATTCAAATGAAAATATGAATTTGTGGAGGGCTTGCTAAAATTTCTTGGAAAATATCTACATTTCCTAGTCTTTCAAACATCTTATTTCAAATCTTTTATTATTTATTTCACTTGTAGGGAGAGTACAGCAGCGGCACTTGGGAAGATACAACAGATACATTGAAATTTGCAGATTTTCCATTTACTATAGTGAGGCACTGTCTCAAACAGGCACCTAATGGCCCAGATACAGAGGAAGGTGCCACAGCTATGGTGGAGGAAGATGAAAGTAAGTATGTTGTAGAATGAAAGTAACTTTAGGAGAGGAGGATGAAAGAAAGTATGATGGTGTATGAAAACATTTGTGGCCATAGAAGGTAAAGGCACAAAAGTATATATAATTAAGGCAGATCAGTGGATTTTAAGATAGAATTAAGAGGTAATTTTAAGATAAAATTAAGATGCAAGTCAGGATTGTGAATTCATAATTCCTGCATAAATGGACTGTTCTGGATGGGCCCAGGTTGATTATTTAGTTAATATATACAGGATGTTAGCGCGCACACACACACACACACACACACACACACACACACACACACACACACACACACACACACGCACATGCATACACACACACACACACACATGCACACACCATTACTTGTGGCTTGTATTTGTGTGTTTAATGTAAATGAAAGTGATATTATTGTTGATATCCTATGTTTTGTTATTGTAGATGCAATACCTCAGCCCCTGCAGGATATACTTAGCATGGAGAATGATTTCCCAAGTAGAGCACATTGCCTGAGTAGATGGTACGTGTACACAGTACATGCAGCAATGTGTCTGTGAATAGAATGATGTTCATGTCAACTCTATTTGTGTTTATCTTGTAATTCCCCAATACAGCCAAGGGATTAAGTATATTCAATTTGGCATCTCTTGTATGTCTTATATTTTTATAAGTTAATAAAATGTAACAGCTACATTGTATGAAATTACTTTTTGGGAATATGAAAATGCATACAGAATGGGTGAAAGGGCTAAAGGTAAGTCTCTGATCACTCATTATCTTGTCACAAGATCAATGCGCAAGGTGTGCAGACAGGCTCCAAATGCAGTTTCTTATTATTTTTATTGGCTGTCAAAGTATTAATATTCTTTGGTGGATAAATGTCTCACTTTATGACACACTGATTCTAGAAGTGATACTTACTTAAATGCTCAGTTGATACATAATGAATTGTATTTTCTAGGTATGGCATACGTGACTTTGTGGTTATTTCTCCCGGGGCTACTTCTGAAGCTGTTACAAGTGAAACTAGGATCAATATTCTCATGAGCTCTATTGCTATTGCTGTGAATAACACTGGATGGTAAGTTTTATTTATTTGTTTATGTACTTAGTTGACTTTTAAACTTTTATAACTTAGTAAATTGATTATTTTTATATGACCAAGAATTTTATTTTTATCATGATGTTTATCAGTTTTTATGCTTTAGATCAATTTGCCACTTGCAAATTAATTTTTTTTAACCATTTTCAATTGAAGCCAGGTGCCTGTATTTATCCAAGGTCATCAGAAGTGGAGGCGTCTATACTATGGCCTGTGTGAGTTCCCAGGAGTACGGACCAGTTTTGACATGGTTCACCTGAAGAGGATCCCACCACAGTACAATCACCTTTCAGGACTGTTAGATGTATTCAAGGGAAAACTGGTGAGAATGGGGATTTATTGCTGCATTCACAATGGTGCTAACTTAAACCAGAATTAAACTGAGTAGCATCAAAATTGCCTGAAACCACAATGCAGGCTTTATCTAGTGACATCAATAAAGCCAGCTTAAGTTGAGTATTACTTTGATTTTGAACATGTCTAAATTTCAGGATCAGTTAAAACTTATGTCATTACTATACCTTTTAGGCATCTCCCATATCCCCTCCTCCTCCAGTCACTGTGTCAGTGAGGTTCACTTATGTGTTACAAGACTGGACACAGTATGCCTGGCCACAGGCACCTCCTGGTAATTATGTTATTTTTGTCATAGGATTTGCCATTTGTTGTAAAATGTTTATCAGACTTTTTATCAGGGTAACTGTATATATATAGTATACTTCTTATAAGTGAAAAAGAATAGGGTCTGTTGTTGTGTGGACCTGGTATTGTTTTGTTTAATGATGAAAATTTGATATGTGGCAGTGCAAACTTGATTGTTTAGAACAGGGAATTTATGTTCTTATGTTTGTGATAGTCATATTTGTGCTACATATTCTATTTCAGACATTGAATCTGTCACAGAAGATGAGATTGGGTGTACAGACTTTGAGACATTGCCATTTGGAGCTTGTGAGGATCCAGTCAGGTATCTTTCATTTAGAAATTAGGCAAAAAAAAATAATAATGGAGTTTACTTTTTCCAAAGTATTGTTGTGAAATTTTATTTATAATCAATTTGTAGAACAGCATCATTTCTATTTCCTTGTTGGAAATTCAGTTAAATCAGCGCATTTTTTCCTTTATCATTTTCACTAAACAAGACTTATCCTTTCAGATTAGGAAATGTTATAATATTTTAAAATATTTTACCTTTAGCGTAGGCACTGGCAATACACATGGTTTTAGCCCCAACCATATATACTTTAAATCTTTTTGAAAAATGTTCCATTCAATTTCAGTGAATTACATCTTTCTACAACATGGCCAAATTTGTCTGAAGAAATGATTGTAGACAATGATACATACACGTAGGTATAGATCTTGATAGTCACTGTTATATTTAAGAGTTTTTATCAACTTTGTGAAGCAATAGATTAAAGCAATACTGTTATTGCTAAATCAATATTTCTATGGCTACCTTGTTACATAAAGGAAATAAGATTTATTTGCTTTTTAAGTTCATAAATGCATAGCCTCTACCTTTTTTTTTTTTTTTTTTTTTTTTTTTTTGGCACTATTTTGATGTTTCCTGTATATCACATATCATGATTAATATAAACAGGGTGACTTTGAGTATTTTGGTAGATTTAAAATAAATAATACTTAAACTTCCTTTAAATAATATATACAACCGGCATGTCTTAAATATAATTTTCTAATTGTTGTGTAATGGATGTCGTAGATGTTTTATTCCAAAATCAGTGCAAGGTGTGTGTGTGTGTGTGTGTGTGTGTGTGTGTGTGTGTGTGTGTGTGTGTGTGTGTGTGTGTGTGTGTGTGTGTGCATTTGCATGCACACGTGTGAGCATGTAACAGTAAGAATTGGTCTGAAGTGATGATTGTTTTCTTTGTTTTACTGCAGGGACCTTGACCCACTCCAAGCCCCACAATGGTCTGTGAGGGTGCAAATGTCAGAGGATGTTCTCTGTCTACTTGGTAATATAGGTCTCCTTTGTATGTGCTTACAGGCATGCTTGTTTGATATTAAAAACATATATGCCCATGTGTGTGTGACATTTCCAGTGTTGTAGGAAAGTGTCCTCTTTGGATAACCTATAGAAAATCTTTTATAGATCTTACAATTTTTCATTAAGATTTGTTTAAAAAATATACACTAATGTATTTTCGCTTTTGTTATCTTATGGTTGTGATATTCTGTTTATATTTTGGGGGTATTCTCATTGTATTCTTATTGTATTGTTACAGGTGATTATCTTGATGAGTTTATAGCTGTATGCTACAGAAAGGAGTCCACAGACCAGTTGTTGGGAAGGCATACGTTTCAGGAAGAAGAAAAAGGTAAGTGTATGTCTTTCAGGTCTTGACCCCAGCTTTAGCAAAGTGAAGTGCTTACAATCAGTATGTTAAAAGTTTTTGAACAAAACAGTTTTTTGAATAAAGAGAGATTTTTTCACATCTTTTTGTGCTCCCATTTCTGTCAGCAGCATCAATTCAATACTGGCACAAAGTTTGAAATATCAAGAGTGAAAACTGTATATCCTGGATACTGTTTTCAAAGAGTTTATTACCTTTTTCTTTCAGTAAAAACCCAAATTTTTCATACTTAAGATGTTGCATATTTCTGTGAAGGCAAAACAACATTAATCCTAAAAAAATCTTTCTTTCATCTCCTGTGTATTGCCACTTTTCGTATTTCAGATAATGCAGATGTCAGTAAAGCCCTGCAGAGATTAACAGAACCAACAGTAAGCTATAACCTTCCCTCTATCTCCAATGTTATGACAAGTGCATCATCCAAGATGAAGATGAAGGCAGAAGATGCGCCAATCCCAGAACCCCTGTTGAATAAATTATTGCAGGTAAGCACTTGGCTGAATGGAAAAATTAGTATTGTTTTGTAGAATTTATCAATTGTATATAGTCTAGTGAGTTCATTAAAGCTGAATGCTGAGATTGATGTTTATCACAAAAAACAACTTATACATGTCAAATTTTAAGTTCCCTACCAGTTTAATGGACTGACTGACTTAAGAAAGTCAATTAATTTTTAATTTCAGTTTCTTTTTCCTGATTCTGTCAATGAGGATAAAACAGAGCAAACTTCCACCATTGGATCCTCCAAATCAGAAACTTCAGATGTCACAAAGGTATGAGTGCATCATGACTGGAAAAAGTAAAATAGATGAACATCTTTCATTGAAAGCATTATGACTATTTTTAATAATCTTTTGGGTGGCAATTGTCCTAACCAAGGCCATAGAATGCAGTTTTATTTAACTGGGATTCATCTTACCATCTAGGTACATCAAACAACTTTCTGGGGATCTACTAGTCCATTCATAGGCCATCACACAAACCAGCCCATCATTTACCGAAATTTTTGTAAGCTGCCCAGCCATCTTTGATAATATATATATTTTGAGGCCAATGGCAGTCCTAATGATTGCTAGATGGCTCTCTGAGGAAGGCTTTGGTCTTAACTTTAATTGTTAAAGAAAGGATACATTATTTTTATTATGTTTCAGGATCTCGGACGGCAGTTGAAGTCGGCTCCTGTGGACAGCCTGACTCACAAACTGGCCATTTGTTGCTGTATACTGAACCACAGTGGTGGCGGCCTGAGAGCTCTGGCCCATCTGTGGCAGGAGTTTGTACTGGAGATGAGATATAGATGGGAAAATGACTACTACATTATAGGGTGAGTGTATGGTTCTAAAGTTCTAAATAGGCGATAAAATGTTTTTAAAGATAGTAAAAAAGGAAAGGTCAAATTTTTTGCAAAAACTTTTGATTTTCTTTTATGAGATAAATATCTTCGTAGCAATTTGTTTGTGTGCCATGAAATTGACTAAAGGAAGGCACACAGGAAAACGACTATATTACAAAAAAAAAAATAAATAAATAAAACAAATTGCCTGGTTTGCATCTTTATTTTGCCTATGATGTTATTAAATTCTCATTAAATTCTTATTAAATTCTGTAATTTCTCAAACCATTGATTCTTTTCAGTTTAGAAAAAGGTTCACCTAATCTAGGGACAAGTTTACTTCATCAGAAGTTACAGGTAATAATGCATAAATTAATGCACTGCAAATTTCTTTCTAATGAAACGACCAAGTTCAAGACATAAGAATTCTGCTATTGCCTGATGTAAACATAAAGAAAATCTCAGATCCCAGCCTTGTCCCCATAACTGTAGTTGTAACATGCTTAACTGTATCTCGCATAAGGTTTTAGTTTATCGGCTGAGCCTTTGCCCACTGATAAGATTCAACATACTTTAGGCTCAGGTGTATTTTTTTATGAAGTTTGAAAAAATTTTTTTTGAGCACTTGCATTAAATGCAGCAAATTTAAGTACAGGTGAAACTCAACCTCGTCTTACTTTCCAGATGTTGAACTGTTGTATTGATAGGAAGAAAACGAGGTCTGCACTTGGTCTGGAGGTAAAACATACCTCTATATCAGACAACATTGAAGAGTTAGGTAAGCAAGTTAAGTCTTCAGGACAGGACACGAAGGGTAAAAACTCTGAGAAAAACACTGGAAAAGATGCAGCAAAGGAGAAAGAGGGGGAAGATGATGACGACGACGATGATGATGAATTTTATGAGTGCCAAGAATCTATGAGTCAGGTATCTTTAGCTAAAAAGACATCTGTGGCTGATTCAAGTGACAGTACGTCTTTGCTAGGAGAAGACTGTGATAATGAAGAGGCTATCAGCCTTGCCTCAGATCTCAGTGGGTCCACAGATGTCAGGTATGAAGACTCAGTGACACTGCAGCCAGAGGGGCGTCTCAGGCCATGCGGGGAGTTGAAATTGTTGAGAAGGGACGAGATTCTCTACATTCCTATCACACAGGAACCTGCTCCCATGACTGAGGACATGCTGGCAGAGCATGCTGAAGTGCTAGCCAAGTAAGTAGATGCAAATAAGTGGCCTCCACAAAAAAAAAGATCTATGAAGGATGCACATGTTTACAACATTGTACAGTGGTTGGATGTTTGTTTCTTCAGTGCTATTTTAACATTTTGCTTTTCTATCATTTGCTTTTTGCACATTGTTGTATGATGTTAAGAGTGGTAGAAAGAATTTTTTAATCAGCATTGTATTCTGTGTTTCAGTCTGGGGTCATCAGTAGAAGGCACACATCTGAGGGCAAGGATGCAAAGTGCTTGTCTGTTGTCAGATATGGAGGCTTTCAAGGTAAGTTAGTTAACTTGGATGTGGAAAATGGCATGAGTCCAGCGTGTTTTTTTAATGAACATGAAATGGATAATGACAAGTTGATTTTTTAAAATCATTTTGTACAAAATGTTTGAACATGGGAAGAATTTATGAAATTTGAAAAATTTTGACATTCTTTATAAAACATTGCAAAATTAAGTTTATTTATGAAATATTTCAAAAGTAATAAATGTAGATGAAATATATGAAATATTCCAAAAGGAGATTAGAGTTGTTTTTTTAATCTACTGCTGTACTCAAAGTGTTACCAGTATTTACTGTTGTTTTTGAGGCTGCCAACCCTGGTTGTATCCTAGAGGACTTTGTTCGCTGGTACTCCCCTAGGGACTATATAGAAGAGGAGGATGCAGACCAGGATTCACAAGGAGAAAAGAAAGGTAAAGAACTTTATATCTACGTATTGGGCGATTTAATAACACGCAAACCTGGGCTTGCTGTGGTTACTCTTTATGTCACTGAAAGTCATTTGTTTCACTATAATGTTAATTAAATTTGGAACTAGTGTACATTATTTAACAGACTAGTGAGGTGGATTCGTTATCTTTATTATCATCTTCAATTTATTAAATCTTTAAGCCCTACAGCTCATCAGAATGATATACAGTATAATTATCATCTTATTATTTTTGAATAGCTGGCTTCAATTCTGTAACACTTGATATGGTATATATATATATATATATATATATATATATATATATATATATATATATATATATATATATATATATATATATATATATATTACTAGTAAGACGTTTTTTGCTCAGGTCAACTGAGTCAGCGTATGCAGATCCCTGGTAACATGTGGGTTGAAGTCTGGCATAATGCAAAGCCAGTACCAGTCAGGAGACAGAAAAGACTCTTTGATGATACTAAGGAGGCAGAAAAGGTAGTTTTTATTATCAGATTATTATATCCATGTACTGGCAGTAGGTGAATATTTTTTCGTTTATTCAGGTTAGGAAGGAGTGTTTGTCAATTGTTAATGTATGTGTTTGATTAAACTCTGACACAATTGAATACATTAAAGTAGAATAACTTATTTATAAATAGACTGAGTTTTAGACAGAATTGTTATGTTTTACCATCCTTGTTTGTAAGGCATGGATTTGTCAAAATATTTTATTTATAAATGTACATATTTAAATTTTAAGATGAGACTGATATTATCAATACATGTATGATGACTACATTGTCCTGTTTGTCTGGTAAAGAAATGTTTTTTTTTTTTTTTTTTTTTTTTTTTTTTTTTTTTTTTTTTTTTTTTTTTTTTTGTAGGTTCTCCACTTCTTAGCGTCCCTGAAACCAGGTCAGCTTGCCCTTCATTTGATGCCAATGCTTATTCATGGTGCTATTATTAAACTACAGGAAAACAGTAAGTATTTACATGTACATGTCATAAGACTGTATTATCATTTGGCTAAAAATGTGTGGAAAAAAATAATAAAAATGAGTACTTTAGTTGAGTTTTTGTGAGTATTTAGTTGAAATATTATCATTTTATAATGTATGTTTTAAAAATTTTCTTTTGAGTTAAGTCACACTTCAAATTGATATAAAGTTATCTTCTCACTGTTTACTAAATCTTATAATATGAATTTATAAATGTTACATTCTTACAGATGATTCCAGTATTCCCAGCTTAAACACATTACTTCAACAGATCCAGACCAAAAGCAGTAAAGTAACCAGAGCCCCAGATCAAGATGTCAAGAAATACGAGGTAGGCACTATATTTGGATCTGTAAAACATGTCAACCTTCTTTGCATGAGCTAGATAAAACATACTTTATGATTAATGACTGTACATTCAATGATATTGTTTGATCCAGAGACAAGAATTAAGAGCTCATTTCTTCTTTAATTACTATTTTCATCATCATCATCATCATATCCCCCACACAGGATCTCCTAAACCAGCTGAGGCTAGCAGAACTGGTCATAGCTAGGGGCAGGTCTTTGAGGAATAAGTTCCAGTGGGAGACAGAGGACAAGGCACACCAGGGCCACATAGAGGAGTTTGCCTCCAAATTACTGGAACAGCCAGAGGTTGAGGTGGCGGGAGGGGCCAGGGGCCCAGCAGGGGCCATCATACATAAATTGTTTGCCGAAGCACAGAAGGTGGGTGAAAGCTGGGATTTTGATAGAATCTTTGACAGAGAGTTTGTTGATAGAGGCTTGGATTAGGAAATCATTTGGATTGAATGAAAAATGGTTAATTTCCAAGTTGAAAAAGTGTAAAATACTTCCAGTATGTCTTGTGTTCAAAGAAACACTCAATATCTTTAGTGTGGTAAGAGATAGTCTCTTGCCTAACTTTAACTTGGTTATATTTGTTAATGACAAAGAATTAGTTTGATCAATGCTCCATCTACACTGGTCATGATTCTTTTTGATACATGGATACTCCCTTTTTATTGACAATATGTGCAATTTGATAACAATATTTTTGATAACGTCAGCACATGTCTTCTGTTTTTCAGAGTGCAAACATGATGATGAATGGCATGCCCGTGTCTCCCGAGGACAACATCAAGAATGGGTCGGACTTTCCTAAGCCTGCAGGCAGGGAGTACATCCTTAGGACAGTTGTACCACGACCAGCCCCTTACTCCAGGCCCTCGGCACAGAGGATGTTCTGTGTCCTGTTAAGAGACGAGTTCAGACTGGCAGGAGCTTTCTCCTCTGATACAACATTTACTTAAAATTATCACATTGACTGTACTTGCAGCATGCATGCCTGGGGGGGGGGGGGGATTCTAATCAGAAGCTTATGAGCAATTCTGCATGTTTTTTATGAATTCAAGATGTCATACAGACACACAGATGCATTGGTTTTATGTTTTATAATTTGTAATGTACATTGTATTGTATTGAATTATAATGTATAAAATGGGCATTTTCAAATGTTAGCAATGATTTTTTCATTATCTGTGCTCATTCTAGATCTGTGTCTGTAAAACTGTAACATCAAAATCATGTGATTGAAAGATTCTGTAAAATAAGAAAAAAATGGGAAATTAGATCATCTTATGTGAAATTCACTCCATAAATTATGTATACATCACCATTTTGCTGTCTACCTGTCTTGTATTTGTGAAGCTCTAAGTGTTGAGAGCTAGTTGCTTAAACATTTTTCTTTTCAGGCTTCAGAGAGACTTTATTTGAGGTATTTGGGCAACTTACAATCAAGTCTTGTTTAAACTGATATCCTTGATCTTAAAACTACACAATGAAAAAAGCTTCTCCAGCCTATTTCATGTTATTGACTCTTACGGACTTGCGATCTTAAAGATGAAATTTGCTCTTCAAGTACATTTACCCAAAGCAAAATGAGAAGTGATAACCAATAATATCCTCATCATCATCATCAGCTGTGCTTTTGATGTTCAATCATATAAGGCTACTTGTATAACATAGTGTTCAAATACAACAAAAATTGTTTATCAATGATTGATCATGTGTACTTCATTTGTTAGAGGCAGACTGCTTTTGAAACACTTAAAGAGCATTATTCACCAAAAAAGTAGATCTACATACTTTAAAGGGATAATAACTCTTCATATGAGATCTATATTTCACAATAAAAACATTGTGAATAACTCATAGAAATATCATATATTCTGTTTTACCACAAGAAAGGCAGTTATAGCTATTATTCTGATATCTGAGCTTGTCTTTAGACCATGTGACCTCCATTGATGGCTATACTCTGTTAAAATCTCTTAAGAGATTTTAACAAAAAACCAAACTTTTTAGGAAAAAACCAGGGACCAACTTTGAATGTAAAAATGGATTCATTAACCATTGGTCAGTATGGGAAAATTGTTGTTTACTCCAGGAAAATTCATTTTTTGGCAGAAATGAAGAGTTATTATCCCTTTAATATAGACTGCAACTTTTTTGACATTTCATTGTGTAGTAAGCATTCATATGATGAAACCATTAACTTAAAGGTTTTGTCACCTACTAATGTTGAGTTGATAACTCATTTTTCATTTCTCGAAAAAAAGATAAAATTATGTTTAAACATGCAAAACCTTAATTTTCTTAGCTGATAAAACATGTTTCTTTTGCAACAGGTCAATTACAAGATTAAATGATTCTTAGGATTGAAATAAGGCTCAAATTGGTAAACCAGCTTGATTGGATCATTTTTTTAAAATCAAATTTATCCAGTTTTTTCTTATTCTGAGTTTTTCAATGTGTTAATTTAAACTCTCAAGGGCCTGAAGCCTTATGCTGATTACATATTCTTGATATCCATGTTACCTGTGGTGTATTATTAAAATTTGGTGTTTTGTTTAGCATAGTGTTATTGCATCAAAATTGACAAAATAGCACATTTTGTTCATTATTGTCTGCTTTTGTGTGTACATTTGACAGCATTGCTGTGTAATTTAGTATTTACCCCAGAAAGTATAATTCTCCAAGATATGAAATTCTAAATTACATTCCTTTTGAAGATATTGGTAAAATAGCTCTGCCCATTTTATTAAAATGGCACTTCTGAAAGAGAAAATTTTTTCTGTTTGTTGTAGTAAAGTATAAATTTTTTGGTTGAGAGCATGGCCTCTTTATTAGCATATTCAACTTTTTTTAAAATCACAATGTTTGACAACTGCTGAACAAAAGCACCTCAAAACTAAACCTTGTAGAAAAGTGATCTCGGCAACTTAAAAAGTGTAACATTTCCTTTTTTTATTCAAAAATGAATTAAACCTACATAATTTTTCTGGAATTTTTTCCATCTTTCAATGTTGTAATCAAAGTGCAAGTGCTATAATTTTCCTACACAAATACATAATTACATAAAGAACTTTTCTTGAATTTGTTAAACAATTTAAACAGTCCTAATAAAGAATCTGGGGTTAATTCAATCCTTACCCATCCATCATAAGGTCTTGTAACCAATGAAAATTTTCTTTCTTTTCCAATGTTTTCCAATCCTCAATAAAAAATAATCATTATGCAACCACATACTATACACAATTAACAGTGATATATTTGCATTTAAAAGTGAGATCTAAAAATTCAATGGATTATTTCTTATGTTAACTATAGGTAAACAGAAATCAATATGTAACATTTACTTGAATATAGCATAGTGCACATCACTTTAAAAGTATTATATAATAATTCACTTTATTTTCTATATAATAGGATATACATCATATCCTACAGTGTTAGAATTTCTACCCCGTATCTTATAATTTTAAATGCATTTTAAACACCTCCCCTTTTTGCAGTATGTCTGTATGAGCAGATTCATAATCATTATAGTCTGGTTTCAACCTTCACAAGTTATGCCATGTCTTTAATAGTTGCTTTATTTACAAACTGCATAGAAATGTCTGCCTAAGTTGACTTGGACCACCTTACAGCACACAATTAATTAATTTATAAGCAAGTCGGGTTTGAATTAGACATTTGCTGTCTAGTACTGATATATCTTTACACTTTTCTGTTCCACTAAAGATGGGAAAAATGCACTCTTTTACAATTTATTTGATACACGTTAAAGCCGTTTCCACAAACAAAAGCTTCAGAATCTCTCAAACTTTGGCAGATGTCTTAAGTTGCCAATAAACTAAAAATCAGTAACACAGTTACTATATTTATCTTACACAAGACACCCGTAGGTGTATATATATGTATAATACAATTTTTCAGATAGTTCACACCCTAAAACCCATATGATAATGACTTCTAAGAGCAATTGCCCATATACTGAAGTGTTCAAGGATTGGTTTTAATAATCAAAGCTATATCATTTAAAATAGCAATGTAATTGTTAAATATGATAATAATCGTTGCTTATTTACAGTGTTCAAAAATGTTTAACCACTCTCATTTTATCATTTATACCCAAATTATCTTACTAAAATGTGTGCCAATAAACTAATCAATATCTTTATCATTACAGCAAGGATAACAGTTAAATGCATGCTGTTCAAATAAAAACAGTGCTATAAAAATAAACAAAACATTTACTACAAGCTCCAGGGTTTGCCTATAAATAACACAATAATAATAAAAATTTCAAGAATTTTAATACAAAACTGCAAGTGAATTGTACATGTCAATTAGGTTTGCTTTCTTAGTCTGAAATAACTATGGAATTAGGAAGAAAATACTGGGAAAAATCTCAAGATGTCATCCCATACAAATTATTTGTGAAGACGGAGAGATATTATTTCCATTACATTCTTCACCTTTGTGTCTGATCTGTAAAAAAAAACTAGCAACAATTTTATGTGCTGGGGAAAATAGTGTCATCTGAATATTACTGCATAAGCCCTCCCTAGATGAAGTAAAGATATATGTGTATAACCTCATAGAGGGCAGTCCTTTTGTTTTTACCACAAGCCAAATAACAGGTCTGCATAGACAGCAACTACAGTAATACAAAGACTAAAAGCTGGTGTGAATGCAGAAACACCTAGCAAATGTCCAAACCAATTAAAAGAAATATTTCAATTAATAAAGAATGCAAAATCTCTGCCTTATGCTGCATTGATAATTGCCATTTTTTATTACTTTTAAACAGTGTTGTGAAATAGTGTTAAATCCCCTGAGCTTGAAACAAGACCCTGAACCAGGTGAAGCAAAGACGGAAACTGCACCATACTGCTGAAAGTATTGCACAGACAAGAGACAAACCACTAAAAAAAGTATAATAATAGGAATCAAAAAATGGTAAGAAAATACCAGAGCTACCTTGTATTGATAAACATCACAATTGTGCTGGACTTCACTGTTCACGATCGCATTTGCCAAGCTTAAGAGCCAAGAAATGGCACTTCACAGCTGGACTTTCACAAGTCGAGATCAACCTTACAAATAAGAACTGAATACTGAGTAAGAGACGGCATAATCCACCCTGTTGTCACTTCCCCCCCCCCCCCCTTTTAAGAAAGAAGATAAGTTAATTGCAAAAGCATGCACAGAGTATATAACATCAGTGAAGAACCCAATCCTGTGCAGTAAGCAATGCAATATTCTTGATGTCATTTTAAGTAAATCAGTTATCTTCTTTCATCCTCATTTTTTGGGCAAAGAAAATGATAAACTTCCTTAGATACCATTTGAATATCTGAATAATATAAACTGCTAACCCAATTTAAGACCTCAAAGCTCTCTAAGACTGATATTCTATAACAAATGAAAGTGAATTAGCACAAAAACTGAAGCATATTACACTGCACATAACAGTGATACAGTAATATATCATCACACATTTAATATAATTACTCAAATATTTGATGTTTATCTTCATGTTCTGATGAATTACATTTGGTGATTCAGAGCTGGCTTCATCCCTAATAACTATATACATATAAATCTCAACTACAAGTATTTGCTGCATTTCAAGTGATGTAAATAAAAAGAATACATGGGTTACTTTTTTTTTTTTTTTTTGAAAGAGTACAAAGTCCTGACCTATGAGTACAAGTTCACTTATTTTTTTTAGCACACTTCACAACATCCTCATTACTTGTTGTGTTACCAACCTATGGCAATACTTGATATGATTTGAAACACATACTGCTATTGGAAATGCAGTCTCGAGGCAGACAGACATGGATATTGGGAACTTGATTCTAATCATATTACTTGATATGCTGGCAAATTTGGTTCATCTTGAGTAAATCAAAATGTCTCAGTTTTCATGAGGATTTTGTGAAACAAGCCACTTTATTTCACTACCAGAAAGCCATAACGCTTTTCTTGCTATGTTATTAGGGGAAAAAAAAGGATTTTTTATTGCAGGTATGGTGGTGTGTTCATTTTTCTTTATTAATATAATGTAATAATATTATATTAACAAAAGTAAATATATTGCGATGAAAACATCACTGCAAAAAAGTCCATGTACTCTGTACTCTAGGCATTTTTTGTTATGCTTAAATACATAAAATACCAAAATTGGTAATCATCTTAAAAGAAATAATAAATCCATAACAATGCACTAGTAATAATAATAATATTTGTAAAAATAACAACAAGACTATTTATCAGTTTATTCATCAAGTAGCCTTAACTAGTCAAATATTCAATCCCTGGTGTTGAGGAAGAGCTCCTAATGACTTGCAATATCACAAATATACACATCTTTAAAAACCTGGTACACCCCTTACAAAAGTGTTATACCGTGTCCTCCTGCTCTGCCGTCATTAAGGGATCTCCCTCCTCATCAAAGATTAAAAATTTAACATTTGGCTTCTTGTCCTGGCCTCCTCCGCCCTCCTCTTTTATACTGTCTAGATGCATGGGAGAGTGCTCGCGGGCCCCGGGCTTGGGACTGTGGGAACTTTTATCTTGAGGACCAGGATTAAGTCTACGTCTGTAAAGGAGAAATATTGAAACACTGATTTGAAGGCAACATTTATAATGAGGAAAATGATTTTTTTTTTTTTTTTTGACAAACTTTGACAGAAATGACAACTACTTTCAAGCAATAAGTGACTCACTGTGACCTGAAATAACCCACACTTTTAATGGGATAAAAAATGATCCCCAAGTTCAACATACAGCACAAATCCTTACTTGATATGTTACATCAAAAATCCACACTTTCAAAGTTATACTATGGATGGATTTGAGAAAAAAAACTAGAACAGGCCTTATAAACAGATACGGCATTTGCAAACTCGAGCCTCAGATTAGTGAGCACAAATGCCTATATTAATGACTCCAGCCATGAATTAGAACCTGAATGTAAAATTAGTAACCAAGAACACAGCATTACCACATATGAACTGCTCTGACGTTGTGTTCGTGTCTACTAAATATACCGTGCAATAGTTAATTTGTGGCTCAAGTCATTTATTTGGGCATTTGTGCTCCAAACTCCAAGGCCCGCAGTAGCATAAAGCAATTATCCTTTATGTGGCCTGTAGGAGTCAAATATTGTACTTGTCACCAAGTTCTATGCACAATCCATTTCTGCACAGCTCTGTTGAATTCCAAATACAACACTTGAGCTGGCACTGTGTGTGTTACTCACCTTGTTGTTGGTGACTGGTTTTCTGCAGCTTTCTGGTGCTTATTCATGTCTACCTGACTGGTCTCATTAATGGTCTTCCAGAGTGAAGATTTGGCTATCCCCTCAGAGATGTTGAGCTGATTGAGTTTATTGGCGGGAATTCTCATGATGTTCCCACTGGTCAGTGGGACCTCTAGGGTGCCTGTCCTGGTCAATTTAACCTGGGGGTTACTCACTATACTCTCTCTGCGTTCCCGCTGAAAATGCAAAAGGAGAATTCTCATAAGTCCAGTTCCATATGAGTTTGTTAATAAATTATTATTATTTTTCTGCTGATTTGAAATAAAAGTAAGAAAACTTGATACTTAACTATTTATTTATTTATGTTTTTATTTATTTATTTCAATTTTGTCTTTCTTTAACACACTGAAACAGAAATAAAATATCAAATGCAACTGTAATTTTTGAAATATTCAGCATGCTTTGAGCAATAACAAACATAACTTTTGTATTATAAAATATATGTAACTGTCACTCTATATCTAACAGATACCTCTTCATTTTCCATTTCCTCTTCTTTCTTCTTCAGCTCCTCTTGCTCTTCTTTCTCCTTCCTGTGAGCGTTAGGCATGACATCGTCCAGCCACATCAGTTCCTCCTGACTGAACAGGTAGTCCATTCCCTTTCTTACAAAACACATGGCCAGCACCTAGGGAATAAAATTGTCCCCAACATCTTAATAAGGGTAATTTGGCAGATTATTAGTAACTTGGTTTACCGCTTTGTTGGATGTATGTGCACATCCTATAAATGTAAATTTCATCTTTTAAAAATCACACGACAGCAAAATTGAATCATGGTAAATGTAAGGGAAAGAAAGTGTAAGTAGATTTGAAAACTTCTTCATTTTTAATGAAGACTTGTAAACCAAGTTACCTTAAAATATTTTGGTTTTTACATATAAGTACTACATTTTTTTTACATATTAAGTAATTCAAACAATAAACATTAGAGCTTACTTTAAAATACGTTTTACAATCAATCCAGGTTCAAACAAACCAAATTCTACAATTTAATTTTCTAAATTTTACTTTGATCCTACTTTAATATTCTTGCACTGTATTAATGTGTTTTCATTGCATGCTTCTGCATGCACTATTTCAGAAGGATCGAAATGTATTAACATTAAAACAGTTTCTCTCTCATTAACCAAATAATAATGAGGCAGGGAATAGCTAATGGTATGCTACTCCAATTAGCATTAATCTACACATATAATGCCTCTAACAATACATAAATGTTACAGTAATTGAGCTAGCAACTAAAATTCTAAAATATCAAGCAGCTAAAGATAGGAAGCAAATTAGTTGCCATACACTAAGCTTGCTTTGGTTCACATTGCAAGCATCAGCTACAACCATCTCTACGTGTCTACACTACGTGTTAGTGAAATTATAACAAACACCTAAGCAAATTTCTATTAAAAAGGCTAAGTAATTCTACAAGTCTGCATATCATATATTTCATAAATTTAGTGCAAATTAGTTTTCTTGCAATTTCATACTTTAAATGAACCGAACAGAACATTTCTATTTACTGAAACAGTTTTTTTTTTTTCATATTCTCTCACTTTTGAAAACATTATAGTGTTCCGTACATCTACATTTTAGCATGAAAAGGATGTGTGAAAAATACTAGGACTACAGCTAGCTTCTTGTTACAATACGTGCCACTAAAAACTATCAATCACCTTTTTTGCAATACTAACAGAAATAAATACTGAAATACACAAACTTGGGCAACAGTTTTCACTGTCAACCTTGGGTCTCAATAAAACAAGGAGCACATCAATACTTATTTGTTACAAATTCAGGTAAATCCAACAAGAAAAATTAGATGAAAATATAGAAAACATCAACAGTAATCGGGAGAGCATGTTTCAATACAAGATGATGAACAAAGGAGCACAAATAATGTCACATCAAACAGAGGTTTAGTAAACAATGAAATGGCTTACTGCTTAGAAATACTAAGTGTTAAATATAAAACATGTAGGTGTTTATACAGGTTATACCAAAAAGGCTCAAAATCTACCAGACACTTCGAAAGAAAACTTTATGCATGCAATAGAATCATTTCAATATCCCAACATCCCCAGATGGACCTGACTGGAACCTACCATAAGTGGGAAGGCGATAGAAATGGATTTAATGGTCTTAATAACCCACAGGATGATTAGACACAACAGCTGGATAGCTGTGAACAGGTGAACACGCTTCAGAGGCACATGGCGCAGGAAGGTGTAGTCCGGCTGGTACTTCGGTGGCATTAAGATGATCAACAGACGGTCTACAAACTGTAACCAAGAGTAATGATATGATTTTTTTCTTTTTGATGTCGTTATAACGAAAAAAAAAAATTCAAGTGGGATTTTATCAATTATCTTTGACTTAATAATGAACAAAGCCACAGTGTTAAAATTATGTGTAAATAAAAAATGTAATAACCATTGATTATTATTTTCCCTTTTTTTTTTTAAAGTGATTCTCTTGCTGTCGTTAACTAAGGATAAACACAAGTTAAGATTCCACTGTTTGTTGTTCAAATGGCTGGATAAAATTCCTTGTTCTTCTTTAGTTATAGACAGTCATGGTTTAAACTGAAACTCACTTGAACAACAAAGTGATACAAGCTAATTCACCTTGGCTTAAGCTAAAACTTCTCTAGACAGTTACTGAATAAACATCTCTTACCTGTACTCCCTTAAGAGCAGACACTCCCATGTACAGGAACACACCATATAAAATTGGCAGAGGGAGATGCTGAAACAAATAGCAGAATTTTGTAGGGCATAGCTATATTTGTGTAGCAGACAAGAAACACATTAATTTTTTTCAATGAAATATTTTGCAAAGGGGTATCAAAGAAACATTCAGGGAACAGAATTTCCTAACTCTTCAAAAGCATATTTATTCATCTCTCTTAAAAACGAATACCAAAGATTCTCAAAGCCATACAACTCTATTTACCTTCAGCGCTGATGTGAGAAGCACAGACACCCCAATTAGTAAGAATACTGCTACACCAGTAACTCTCTGTTCTCTGTTTAAATAAAAAACATTTTATATTAGTATCAAAAATATATTTCATGAATTCTTATCTTAAACTCGATTATGAATCCTGTACTATTTCTCACTAGGTTGACAACTGCAGATTATGAGTTCATTAAGCTCTCTTGTAGCTTTAACACCAAACACAAAATCTAATAATTCTTCCCTTGGTCCTTTTGTGACCTATCTGTAAATTTCATTAAAATTCCTCCGTGGCATAATGCTGTTAACAGACAAACCAACTAACAGCAACAAAAACATTACCTCATGATGGAGGTAATAAAACTCCCAAGACTGTGTATGGAAATTACTGGTAATTTAGTTATTGCTCTGTTATAGTTAGTCATGCTGTCATTGATTGTACCTCGTATGTGAAGGTATTTATCAATAAAGAATCTGAAATCTGGTAATAATCATCACCTTATTCCCAGAAATTTGGGTGTCTCCCCAGGTGCTGCACATTCTGACTCTTTCTTCAAGCTTTGTACATGAGTAATGGAAAGCACTGTTGCTGCCACAAACCATGGCAGACCCAGGAGGGAACAGACAGCTATCAATGAGGCTATTATGAAGAGATCTAGATGGTAGCCACCTCCTTTCTGAAGACAGAAATGTTGAATCAGCATATTAATTTGTGTATTATATAATAAGGCCTCAACTAACATATAGCAAAGCTAGCATATATATGGTTAAAAGGTGAATTTTCTTTTAAATTAAAAGACTTAGGAAAACTTGAAGCACCTTATATAAATTAAGTAACTGACAGAAATATATCAAAGGTAAGAAGGGGAGTTTTCTGAAATAAGACTTAGGAANAACTAAGGATAAACACAAGTTAAGATTCCACTGTTTGTTGTTCAAATGGCTGGATAAAATTCCTTGTTCTTCTTTAGTTATAGACAGTCATGGTTTAAACTGAAACTCACTTGAACAACAAAGTGATACAAGCTAATTCACCTTGGCTTAAGCTAAAACTTCTCTAGACAGTTACTGAATAAACATCTCTTACCTGTACTCCCTTAAGAGCAGACACTCCCATGTACAGGAACACACCATATAAAATTGGCAGAGGGAGATGCTGAAACAAATAGCAGAATTTTGTAGGGCATAGCTATATTTGTGTAGCAGACAAGAAACACATTAATTTTTTTCAATGAAATATTTTGCAAAGGGGTATCAAAGAAACATTCAGGGAACAGAATTTCCTAACTCTTCAAAAGCATATTTATTCATCTCTCTTAAAAACGAATACCAAAGATTCTCAAAACCATACAACTCTATTTACCTTCAGCGCTGATGTGAGAAGCACAGACACCCCAATTAGTAAGAATACTGCTACACCAGTAACTCTCTGTTCTCTGTTTAAATAAAAAACATTTTATATTAGTATCAAAAATATATTTCATGAATTCTTATCTTAAACTCGATTATGAATCCTGTACTATTTCTCACTAGGTTGACAACTGCAGATTATGAGTTCATTAAGCTCTCTTGTAGCTTTTAACACCAAACACAAAATCTAATAATTCTTCCCTTGGTCCTTTTGTGACCTATCGGTAAATTTCATTAAAATTCCTCCGTGGCATAATGCTGTTAACAGACAAACCAACTAACAGCAACAAAAACATTACCTCATGATGGAGGTAATAAAACTCCCAAGACTGTGTATGGAAATTACTGGTAATTTAGTTATTGCTCTGTTATAGTTAGTCATGCTGTCATTGATTGTACCTCGTATGTGAAGGTATTTATCAATAAAGAATCTGAAATCTGGTAATAATCATCACCTTATTCCCAGAAATTTGGGTGTCTCCCCAGGTGCTGCACATTCTGACTCTTTCTTCAAGCTTTGTACATGAGTAATGGAAAGCACTGTTGCTGCCACAAACCATGGCAGACCCAGGAGGGAACAGACAGCTATCAATGAGGCTATTATGAAGAGATCTAGATGGTAGCCACCTCCTTTCTGAAGACAGAAATGTTGAATCAGCATATTAATTTGTGTATTATATAATAAGGCCTCAACTAACATATAGCAAAGCTAGCATATATATGGTTAAAAGGTGAATTTTCTTTTAAATTAAAAGACTTAGGAAAACTTGAAGCACCTTATATAAATTAAGTAACTGACAGAAATATATCAAAGGTAAGAAGGGGAGTTTTCTGAAATAAGACTTAGGAAAACTTTATATATTCAGAAATCGACAGAAATATATCTATCTTAGACTGGGTTCCCACAGATTTAGATCAATCCATCTGGATCACCTAACTCCCTGGGGGTTCACGTTAAATTGCTGTCAGATTCCGGGAGCCGAGCCCACACGAAAGTTAATTGCCCTCTTACAGCTTTTAGTAGGCGGGACAGACATTTAAGCTGGTTAAGCTGACAGCTATCTAGTGAGACTCCCTAGGGGATAGATCGATCTAAATATCAATGGGAATGGTCTCTTATACTTGGGCATTTGCAAACAAACAATCAATCCATCAATCAATGGATAAATAAATAAATAAACTTCCAGTTCTCTCTACAACAAACCCCTGTTCACACATCAGTCTAGCTGAAATGCATGACTTACCACTAGTTTGTTTTCTCTCCTGTTTACAATGACAGCTGTAATCTGCTGATCCATAAATATCAAGATGGTTGCCAGCAAAGCCGGTATGATGGCTGCTGGGATACACCACCATGGGTTGCCCAGTGGGTTCACAACCCACCCCCTATCATTTGCCCTGGTTGGCTGGAAACAAACAGACTTTAAATTAAGGCAAACCAACAATATTTTCCCAATCCTTTAATCTTTTGGCACTAGGAATTTTTCCAACTACCTACCAAATGCAATTTATTGTTACAGTGAGGAATTGAAGATGCTGTAATTGTTATTTTTCTTCTTCAAAGGATATGTAAACATGACATTGTTTCATTTGAAGAAATAAGCAGCGGTGGATTTAGGCCGTCTTCTGGGTCTTCTGGAAGATGGTCAGATTTTCAAGTTTACATTGTCAGCCATCTAATGTTTTCTGTCGGAAGACGGTCAAAATGGAAGATGGATCAACAAAGATAATTTGGAAGATTGTCAGAAAATATCTCTGGATCCGCCCCTGATAAGTACATTCTCAAAACAGCTTTAAGTCACTAAAGACCAGATTTGTGCAATAAAGAGTTGTGCAGTATGGAAAATTTTGCATTCTACAGTCTTACTCTGACCAAACCCATAAAGCAATTATGGGAACATGATACACTAACTTATTTAACTGGGTACAAATAAGAAAAAATATGGCAATTTATAACTTAACTTACCACAAATGTGTCGGGCACTTGAAGCTTTGGTGTTGGAAGTCCAATAACAATATCCACAACCAACATGACCACAATAGCAGTAAACACAGCAAAGTCGCTAACCACAGAACGGACCTGTAAGAGTTAAGCATGTAAATGTTTAGAGTCACAAACACGATGAATAAAGACTGTCATAACTAACAATATATATAAAGACTAATATCTAAATAAACGTTTTGTGTAGCATGAAAAAGTCAAACTAAACTAAGCATCTCTGATGCTTAGCAAAATAATGTCTCAAAATATAAGAAGTGTATGCAATGTGGTAAAATCGCAGTAGGTTTCATCTTTGAAAATATGTCTAAGTGCAAAGTCTCATAGATATCCAATACAATTTCAAAAGTTAAAATCCAGTGAAATGCCACTTAGTCACATAATAAGCAACAACAAAAATGTTCTCTTCACAAAAACACAATGAACACACTTAATCACCTTGAGAGGGCAGAACCTGCTCATCTTAAACCCCTTGAGTGCATATGCCAGTACAAATGTACCAAAAAACAGAAGGATGGAGAAGAAGAAGACATCTGCCACATATTCCACCGTATCACAACCTGGACCGACCAGTGTCCCACCATACAGCTTACAGTCCGCCTTGTTCAGAGACGCCCATGGAAATGATGCATTGTGGGTTGCATTAACGATCACTTCCACCTCGGCGTGTCTATCATAAAACAGGAACACAATGTCCTCTTTCGAGTGCTGAATACTCGCGGGGTCGGTGATGTTGGTTGAGTTCAGTGTCGCATTCGGGTGGACGCAGTGACACTCGTACGTCAGCGGTATCTCTGGGTCCAGATTCACGGGACTGGAGTCCTGGATTTTGAACAACTTCGCAAATGCCTCGTAGATGAAAATGAGGGAGATGAGAGAGGCGAAGCTCTCCTCTGTGAACCGTGTGATATAGCGGACTAAGGCACTGAGGTCGAAAGCCACCATAACCATTAAGAACAAGCATGTCCACATGCCGATCCAGAAGCGAAGACTGAGGTAATGCAGGTGGTTGTCTCTGAAATATAACAAATAAATAAATAAATAAATAAATAAATAAANATAAAAGGCTTAAGAAAACTTGAAGCACCTTATATAAATTAAGTAACTGACAGAAATATATCAAAGGTAAGAAGGGGAATTTTCTGAAGTAAGACTTAGGAAAACTTTATATATTCAGAAATCGACAGAAATATATCTATCTTAGACTGGGTTCCCACAGATTTAGATCAATCCATCTGGATCACCTAACTCCCTGGGGGTTCACGTTAAATTGCTGTCAGATTCCGGGAGCCGAGCCCACACAAAAGTTAATTGCCCTCTTACAGCTTTTAGTAGGTGGGACAGACATTTAAGCTGGTTAAGCTGACAGCTATCTAGTGAGACTCCCTAGGGGATAGATCGATCTAAATATCAATGGGAATGGTCTCTTATACTTGGGCATTTGCAAACAAACAATCAATCCATCAATCAATGGATAAATAAATAAATAAACGTCCAGTTCTCTCTACAACAAACCCCTGTTCACACTGAAATGCATGACTCACCACTAGTTTGTTTTCTCTCCTGTTTACAATGACAGCTGTAATCTGCTGATCCATAAATATCAAGATGGTTGCCAGCAAAGCCGGTATGATGGCTGCTGGGATACACCACCATGGGTTGCCCAGTGGGTTCACAACCCACCCCCTATCATTTGCCCTGGTTGGCTGGAAACAAACAGACTTTAAATTAAGGCAAACCAACAATATTTTCCCAATCCTTTAACCTTTTGGCACTAGAAATTTTTCCAACTACCTACCAAGTGCAATTTATTGTTACAGTGAGGAATTGAAGATGCTGTAATTGTTATTTTTCTTCTTCAAAGGATATGTAAACATGATGTTGATTCATTTGAAAAAAATAAGTACATTTGCAAAACACCTTGTTAAGTCACAAATGACAATTAAGATTTGTGCAATAAGGAGTTGTACAGTATGGAATTCTACAGTCTTACTATGACCAAACCCATTTAGCAATTATGAGATATCAATACACTAACTTATTCAACTGGGCAATAAGACAAAATATGGCAATTTATAACTTAACTTACCACAAATGTGTCGGGCACTTGCAGCTTCGGTGTTGGAAGTCCAATAACAATATCCACAACCAACATGACCACAATAGCAGTAAACACAGCAAAGTCGCTAACCACAGAACGGACCTGTAAGAGTTAAGCATGTAAATGTTAAGAGTCACAAACACAATGAATAAAGACTGTAATAACTAACAATAAATATTAAGACTAATATATAAATAAACATTTTGTGTAGCATGAAAAAGTCAAACTAAACTAAGCATCTCTGATGCTTAGCAAAATAATGAGACGTCTTGTCTCAAAATAAAAGAAGTGTATTCAATGTGGTAAAATCGCAGTAGGTTTCATCATTGAAAAATATTTCTAAGTGCGAAGTCTCATAGAAATCCAATACAATTTCAAAAGTTAAAATCCAGTGAAATGCCACTTAGTCACTTGATAACATAATAAGCAACAACAAAAATTTTTCTCTTGACAAAAACACATTGACCACACTTAATCACCTTGAGAGGGCAGAACCTGCTCATCTTAAACCCCTTGAGTGCATATGCCAGTACAAATGTACCAAAAAACAGAAGGATGGAGAAGAAGAAGACATCTGCCACATATTCCACTGTATCACAACCTGGCCCGACCAATGTCCCACCATACAGCTTACAGTCCGCCTTGTTCAGAGACGCCCATGGAAATGATGCATTGTGGGTTGCATTAACGATCACTTCCACTTCGGCATGTCTATCATAAAACAGGAACACAATGTCCTCTTTCGAGTGCTGAATACTCGCGGGGTCGGTGATGTTGGTTGAGTTCAGTGTCGCATTCGGGTGGACGCAGTGACACTCGTACGTCAGCGGTATCTCTGGGTCCAGATTCACGGGACTGGAGTCCTGGATTTTGAACAACTTCGCAAATGCCTCGTAGATGAAAATGAGGGAGATGAGAGAGGCGAAGCTCTCCTCTGTGAACCGTGTGATATAGCGGACTAAGGCACTGAGGTCGAAAGCCACCATAACCATTAAGAACAAGCATGTCCACATGCCGATCCAGAAGCGAAGACTGAGGTAATGCAGGTGGTTGTCTCTGAAATATAACAAATAAATAAATAAATAAATAAATAAATAAAATGTTTTAAAAACTATATTACAACAGCTTGTGGTGACTTGGTGTTGTTTTTTTTTAGTCTGCTCAATGGGTATGGCTTTTATATTAAAAAAAAAATACATTGTTCAAAAAAGGTCAAGTTTTAAAATCCTGCCACATGCAAATAAATAAGTTAATTTCTCAGACATATACTGCAGAATAAAATGTTTACTTTCAAATGACAGATAGTAATGAGTCTATCATACAGATAATTCAGAACACATTTGTGAAAACAAATCATAATATTCTGATAACATTATCAAAATGATGAACTTTAATTAACCCAAGTGCAGCATTCCAAATTACTACCAAACATTGGAAATTGAATTAGTATAATAAGGTATCATTTTACTTACTCGCAGAAATGAAAAACTATGGTTTCAAACACCAGCACTGGTCCAGTACTGCCTATAATGGTCAGCGGCTGACCAGAGAATAAATGATATGTGATTCCACAGATGGCTCCAGCCAGGATACTTTCTATGGCAGCCTATAGTGTTGATAATAATAATAATAATAATAATAATAATAATAATAATAATAATAATAATAAAGTATTTTAACTATTCACAAATTTTAAACCCCTTACATATTTAAGATATTTTACTTCTTGATATTTCAATTCTGTTCCACACAAAAACACCTTTTCTAACACAATCCCATCTGACCTTTTAAAGAAAATTCCATAGCTTCATAACATTTTTGATGAAAATATTGGGACAAAAAGACATGATCCCAGAAAAAAATCATAGCTATATTACACCAGCATCTTACCATGTAGTTGTGAGTTGCATCCCCGAGCAAGCCTCCAAATGTCACAATAGGAGTTAGGCAGGCAAAGTACAGGAATATAAAGGAGGCAACACACTGTATGTGCAATGCGTCCTTTATGTCGCTCCAGATCCAAGGGATCTTACGCTTGATGTCTTCTCGTAAACCTCCAAAGAATCTGAAAACCAATAACACATGACATAAATAGATCATGAATAAGTAAAATCCTGAATCGTGGAATAGAAATAGACTAAGAAACAAAAATGGACTTTTAAGTGTCATTGTCAAGACACTTTGTTTTCAACATCACAGTATATATTTATATACACATATATACTTTCAGTTCCAGAAGTAGCACCTGAAAGACTATGCTACTTGCGTAAGAGATTTTTCATAAAAACAACCCCAAAAAAAGAAAAAGTAAGAGGACATTGAAAAGCTAGGACAAAAAACTTTATGGCAAGTTAAACTACCATCTATACAACCAGAGAGACAAATAAATGTAACTAAAAAAAAACTAAGCACTGTAAAAAAAAAGGGAGTAATAAAAAAGCATAAAGCCAATTCAACAAGAAGGTTCCATAAAGGAATACGCAAATATCAAATGATAAGGGGATACTTTGCAGCCTTACACTATAAGCACTTCTCTACTGCTAGGAAAAAAATATCAGAATCTTTTGGTCTTAATGAGGAAAACAGACAATGAATGTCCCTCCCTATTCCAGCACCATGGCTGTTTGATCTTCTTTCTAACACAATAAGCACTGATCACTGGATTTCTAAAAGTCTACATACACTGTCAGTCCACCCATGAACCTCTTATTATTAAGGCTTTCCCCATCTTCCGGTGCTCTTTAAATTAAGATTAAAAAGGCATCCATTATGATTCAGGTAGACCTCTACCTCTTTCTTGATACCCAACTCCTTCCACCTTTATTTCTATCCATCAACGCAGTGTTGTTATAAGCACTTATAATAAAAAGCACCATCAAACATTTAGGGGGATTGATAAAAACCACCAGCTAATTTGTAGTTACCATCCCATTTCTTTGCCATGTAAAATCTTCACCTTAGGGCTGAGTTCACAAACAAATTAATCCACAGACAAACTGGTCCTAGGATCAAATAAGGCTTGACCCACTTGGAAGCATGCTGCGCGATTCCCTAATGATTTTTAAAATTTCAATTGTTCTGCCCCTGCAGCGATGGCAAATGTGGGAGGCAGGCAATCCATTAGGGGATTATGCAGCATGCTTTCAAGTGAACATCATATCTGATCCTCAGATCAGTTAGTCCTCGGATCAACTTGGTTGTGAACGCAGCCTAATTCACTAGGGGCCCCCACCCTCTGGACTGAACAATACCTTCCAGTCCTGACAAGAGTTGGATCTCCGTGTTCCTCTTCCTGGGGGAGGTTCCCATTGGTGAGGCAGTTAGCTACTTCTGTGGTCTTTCTGCTTTCCTTAGCAAAGCAAAATGGGGCAAATATAATATTGAAGCACATACAGAGCAAGCTCCTACTACACTAGGCATGTCTGCTTCAGAGTCCAGACTCACAAAATATGTAACTAATTTTTAAAAAAGCTGCGCATGTAGAATGAACTGCTTACTTAAAGCCAAGCTAACAAGTACCTTTTCTAAAATCTTTATTTATGTAAAAATGAAAACTTATATTATAAACACAAGCTTATTGTTAATATAGGGATAACAATACCTCCATTTGGTATTTATATTTCTGATAACCCGCGACAAATTTCAAGTAAATATACTGGCAATTTCCATGACCTTTTTATTTGAACAAGTTTCATGGCTCCCTATCATGTTAAAAAGAGCAATTTCCTTTTAACCAAAAAGATATCTCACTCAAATATTTCTTTCCTGCCCTTGTCCAAAGTTTTGGTTCATTGAAGATTGTCCTGATAGTTGGGATTCATAACTTAAAGATACATACGAAGTCAATTTTTTGTCACAAAAACCAACCAAATGCCAGCATATAGTTTCAAGTAGTATAACTAAGAGAATTACCAAAAGGCATTGTTTAATTTTACCCGAAAGTGATGTTTGAACAGATTTTTCTGCTAGCATTCTAAGCTGTATGTCAATAGGGCAGGGAAGTAGGTCACGGAAGTAGGTTAAATTTACAACCATAAATTTAAAGAAAGGAGCAGTCTAAAGGTCTTTTATGGCTGATTGAGTGATCTGTTCAGTTTATCCCTTGGCATGTCAAATTTATTTGAGTCATATAAGAATCTAGTAGAAGTGGTTTACATGTGTTACTGGGAATCCACGCTCCATCGATGCTCGGTTCGTATGTACCTTTAACACAAAATATCTGACAAATTTTTTTTAATTTCTTTTTGATGACTTCACAATAATCATGGGATTTTCTAACGAACTTTTGAGTTTTGTATATAGTACCTGTGATGGGACTTTGCCAGGTGGCTCAATACGTATGGAGGGATCCCACTCGCCAGGTGGCAGCACAGTCACCTGGTCCAAAAACTCATCTATAGCAGCAAGCAAGTCTTGCCTAGTCTTAGCTCTGTATGCTACATCATGGAACACCTGAAATACATAAATTTTTTTCAAAATATTTGAAAAAAAATCACTGCAGCAAAATGCCTTTATGTATTCAGTCAAACCAAGTTCGAAGGCCCCATTAATTAACAATGAAAATATCATTATAAGTAGATCCAACCCCGCGGGGACTCTCACTGAATGCAATCAGATTAAAACCCCTCCTCTTGTTTCCAATGTACTCATAAAATCACCAGCATTTCTGTATTCTACTCAATATCAGAAGCAGGAATATTAATTGTCATGGAGTAGGATCGATCTATACAGAACAATACTTTTACTGGTAATGACCCCTAAAGTACACGTACATGGACAACTCACCTCATCAGACATAAGAGTGGCCATGGATCTCCCAATCTGCTTGTTTTTGGCGGAGGTCCCACTGGGGCCGAGTAGGACAAATATGAACCTCGATGGTACGGGAACCTCAGTAAAGTCGGCTAACATTATGGCATCATGAAGACGTATGAATGCCGATATGGAGTAAGGCAGGAAATCCACCTCTCCAACCAAGATGTTGGCCGTTTCTGCTCCATGGGGGATCTTCTTCATGAATGGAACTCTAGAGAACTGTAAAACATATATATATATATATATATATATATATATATATATATATATATATATATATATATATATATATATATATATATATGAAATGGTGATTCTATTCAATAAATGATGCATTTCTTTTGTAAAATATCATCCAGCAGACAAAAATAGCAAAATAAAGAAAGAAAAGTTTGTGCATCTCTTTCTTTTAGAATAATTGTAATTATCATGAATGAGTGATGAATAAATTAAGTGGGTCTCCATAACTTTTAGTAATATCATTTATATGTTAATGGACTGAAAATGTACAGGGAATGCCGAGAGAATATTCAACTTTATCCTTAAAAACTCAACACATTTTAATCAAGAACCAGAACAAAGCGCCTTTCAAATTCATAGCACTTGCCAGTGGCTCATAGCAAATGTATTTTCCCCTTACCCATTGTTTTCATTGCTTAGTCTTTTCTTTTTACTTTCTTTTTGTTATCTTTTCTCAATCCTTTTTTTTTTCGGGGGGGGGGGGAGAGAGGAAGGAGCAGCAGCAGCAACAAATAATACTTTTTACTTTCCTTTTCTCAATCCTTTTTGGGGGGAGAGGAAGGAGCAGCAGCAGCAGCAACAAATAATATTTTCAATGCCTTGATACACTTGTGCACTGATGCAATTGCATGTCTCAGCACTTATTGCATACACACATCACCTAGCAAGCCCATGAGAGCCTCTTCTCATCAAGTGTTCTTTACTGTACATACAGCCAATAGCTATCAAACCACTTCAAAAATAATTGCCTTGAAACAACATACGCGTTTCCTGTATTTCTTCTGCAATCTTAGCATTTCCGGCTCTAAAATAACTGTTGATTGCCCTATATCATATTCATCCTCATCCTCATATTCATCGTCACTCTGTGATCACAAGTTTGTAATGAGGCAAGCAGACAGACATAAATATATGTTCCTGGAGAACTGTGGCATCACATAGACAGAGATTTGTTGCAGTATAATTAGTACTTTTGGATCCTAGTCATTAATCGGCTTTATCAATCCCCTTATAATTGTTACAGCTTTCTCAGATATCATTCATATGACATTTCTTTCATTTTAAAATGTTTATCAATAAGACAAAGGATACGAAATATCTAGCCAATTTATGCGATCATCCCAAAGAAAATTTTATGGATGGTATTTTTTTAAGTTATTTCATATCTTCTTGACACTATAATTTTTTACGGTGTGATTTTCCAAACAAACAATAAAAATATTATATATCTAAAGAAGGAATCTACTGGTAATTCAATAATTAACTAAATAACTCATAACCAAGTGAGTCATACATACCTTGGAATGAGAGTCAGAAGCTTGGTTGCTGTCACTGCCATTCTCAGAATTCATGTAGCGATCAAAGTTGGGTAAACTTTTATTACCAGTCATGGATGGATCTGGAAAAGTGAAAGAAAAAATTAAAACTGAACTGTGTATCAGAAACATTGATTACAAGTTTACACAAAAAAAAACATTGAAAAAAAACAGGGATTAATCTTTCGTTTTTACTTCGAGGCTGCAGTTTTGGATATGAGCTAAGAAAATAGATTATGAAATTTTGTATAGAAAGGCAATCAACTTGATGACACGCAAGATTTGGATTGGGGTAGAAAGGCTGATACAGCTTAAAAAATAAGAGCTTCACATTAAACAGCTATGTTTTGCAAAAATTCTAACTATGAAAAATTCAATTTTTCAAAAACACTCTTTCAAATCAGCAGTACTTCTTAATTTCCTTTATAAACATCTTCCTTAATTACATTTTTTAAGTTCTATATTCAAAAAGATGTAAATAGATTTGAAGCTATATTTTGAGAAATAACAAGATTTAATGCATAAAGATTTCATAAATATATAATGAACCCATAACAGGGGAAAAAAGGCAGTGCAAAGGAGGAGCAGGATTTCCAATTCATCAATATTTTATGACTCTTGATTAAAATACACACATTTCAGACCCACATTTCCACAAATCAGCACTTTTTTAATTTCTATTATGGTGAATTAAATCCTGCTCCGATCCTTAAGTGAATGGTTATCAATGCCGTCAGCTCTGTTCAAAACAGAAAAAGCTCAACAGAAAATGAACAGTAAATGTAACAATATTCATGCAAATAAATACAAATCTATGATGAACAACAGCATTAACAGATATTGCAACATAACTAGTTAAAAAGGGGGAAGAATGGCCATAACCACTGTTAAACAAAATCAGAACTGATGAGTTCAAATGGTTTAATATTCCCTAACATCCAACCTGAACATATGCAGACAAGCCAGCTAAGATGGTGCATCTTAGAATCCTCTAGCATAAAATAGTGCCACAACTAATATCCAAATATACCAGAAAAGTTACTCAAAACTTTTAGCTAGAAGCCAAGTCCAGCAGGGCTAATATAGAATCATCACTAACATTGCTTTTGACTGTCACATACAAAACTCAATAAATTGAACATGGTCTTAATAAAAAAGGATGCTTGAAATCTCAAGTGGTTGGTCAAAATATAATATAATATACAACATATAAAAACAATTGTGAAACTGTCCATGCAGCCTGACATTAACAGTTATGCAGTCAGTTACTGGGGAGATTTGGAATGGTAATTAAGGGAATGTCCTTAAAATATTTGTCTGCCACATTTTTCTTAATTCTTCACATGCATGGCTGATACTATTGCATCCATATGAAGATTTTTTTTTTAAATGATAGGTACTCAGGAGTTAAGTTGCTAAGGCAACTTGTATTAGGATAAAACTGATTTATTTTTCATTTTCCTAGAACAATTTTAAACTAGGTTTCCTTAACTAGATTGATCTAACAGGAGCGATTCATCTCCGAGGGGTTTCTCGCTAAATTGCTTTCAGCTTAAGCGACTTAGATGTCTCACCCGCAGGTGTTTTTGATTTTGTAGGGGAAGAAATAACTAATATGCAAATGCAGACAAACTGAGTGTGTTATGAATTACTTGAAGTCTTGAAGCAGTCATCAGATAAGAAGCAAATACTTACTTTAAAAAGTAATAATTGTAATACTACCAGCAGTACAACTCTTAAGAGCACACTTTTCTTCGACTCGCTGAACTAATAAAAATCCCATGCTTGTAAATTTTAGCATGTGCAAAATCGTAGCACCAATAGTTGGTGGTTGAAAAAAACAGGATATCTTGAATCCTTGGCAATATCCCTTAGTATATCAAGTTACGTGCAAAAATGTTTGAAAGTAAAAGGGTAGACTCACGCTTTACTAAACTGTTTATAGGTCAAAGAAGACCCACAGCAAATATCCCACGCTACCATCTCTTTGTCACAACTATCACATCGGTAAGAAATAAGTCACATTCACAAATCACTTTGCAGTGTACATTAGCGATCAAGTAATTATTATCAGATGATGTTTTGTTTTAAATAAATACTGAGAATATTCTTTATTGAAAAGCATTTGTGAATCAATTTTAGCCAACCTGTTTACTGCAAGTTATGTGTATTGCTAGATCGCCAGCACTAACAGCTGATGGGAAAAAAGTTAATGCCTTGTTACGCAATGTAACACAAGGACACTACATTACAGGAGATCAAAAAAAAAATTTTTTTTGCATGTGCCGAGGCAATAGCCAAATACTTGTACAGCATTATATCATAGACCCCCTCACCATTACCTTTCCCCAAATAATTACTGTGTACCAAATTCATAACATGAATGCATTTTAACTTTTGATTGAAAACATGAATACCTCAATTTGATTCACCTAGCCTCAATAACAAATGTATATGTGTATATATATATATATATATATATACACATGTTACTCTCTGTGAGCTTTGTTTTAATAACTGAAAGTATGTGATGTGACATTAGGCAAGAAATTGTTCCATATAAAGAACCTTTCAACCAATCAGACAGGACAAAGAATTCAATGATATGATAAATGTTGCTGTCCCTGCTTTTGATCAAAAGACAATCCAAAACTATGGCTTTGTTAATGAATAAGATATTAACAGAGATAAAAATAGTAAGACTGAGCCTTGTTAAATAAAATTACAGTGCTACTGAGAAGTTGTCTTACAATACCTCCAAGGACTTCCAATGTTTGTTAACTACTGGACATTCTTTCTATGTCAGTAGTTTTTTTTTTTTTTCAAATCACAATATGAAACCATGGCTTTACTTCCACATATAAAAATCCCAGTTGTAGAGAAGATATAGCAAGAACAGGAATAGATATATAAACAGGTTATTTAGCCTGTGCAATCAACTTGATAATATATTTGATACTGTGCATAAATTAATAATATCCCCAAGTCCAAGAATATTCTATAACAATTAATTCAGAACATTTACACAGTCACATTTAAATAGCACAGATGCTCTGTTACAACCAGATTCATATTTACAGATACAGCTCGCAAGTTTTAACTAAGCATAATAAGATATAACAGAGATGTCTCACCACACCTCAGAAACTGAAAATATCTAACATAACAAACAGGTAAAATCATTTGGTCTTCTGACGACCAATTATAACAATTTATCACATAAAAATTAGCCTAAAGGCATCTTCGGCACATGCATTCACACACATTACATATTTTGGTCATTTTAAAACAAGTTCACATGTGTACAGATGCTGTTATAAGCACATGTATGCAGTGCAAATACACTTCACATATACACAAAATCTTCTCTCAGCCCCCCTCCCCCATTTAATGGCCCTTCTCACATCGTGCAGCACACTTTTTTGTTTCGCACCATTTTGAGAAATTAATGACGTGGCTATTATAAAAGAGTCACTTAGAGTGACCCCCCCCCTTCCCACCACTTACATCCAACAAGGCCATCATCCATGCAGTAAAGCTGGATTAATTCTGATTAGTCCCACCTATTGGAAGTCAACGTATGAAAAGGAGTAAAAAAAAAAAAAAAAACTCTGCAGGATAATTTTGTGCCAAGACCAGTCAAAAGGGTGCAAAACAAAAAAGGGTACCCTACAATGTGAAAAGGGCCTATGCAGTCTCTAGGTCTGTCCATGTGTGTCTGTCTGTGTGTCTGTCTGTCTGTCTGTCTGTCTGTCTGCATGTCTTTTTCTCTCTTGATCTATCTATTCACTTGAAGCATGCATTTTCAAACAAAGGCAATGGTTTTTGGAAATACATCCATTCATCATAACTGAAAATTATCAAACACAAAACGAAAATCCACTAGCTTACGACCACCCTGGACGTAGGCCTTCATCAGACTAATGTGAGATGTTGTTACTCACTGACCATTTCTGAACATGTAATAGGCACCAGCCACTGGATTGACTAGAATTCAACCAAGATCCTTAAATCCGAGTCATCTGACATCCCACTGTCCACGGAAGATAGAGACAGCTATCAACATCAGCTGTCACCAGCCACCCATGAAGGGGGGAGGGGGGGGGGGGAATCTACTTAACATTTATGAGAGGGTCCTGGCCGCTTTACTACCTAACAGTCAGTGAAAAACAACAACTCACATCAGTCTGATGAAGGCCTACATCCAGGTTGGTTGTAAGGTAACAGTATGAAAGATTTTCAGCATGTGTTTGATAATTTTCATTTATGATCTAACTACCAAGCTAATGAACATTTTTACATCCATTCATGTTTCTACCATACACATACATATAAATATAAATATCTACAAAACAACAAAATGATATTAATCAAAATACCGTCACTACCTAGAACACCGCCTTGAACCATCTTGTGAATTTCAACAAACTCGGCTGTTTAACAAAATAAAACAAATTAACAACATTCCGAACTCAAACTCTGTGGTTGCTAAAAATAATCACAACGCAAGCAATATTTGTCACATCTCAGAACATGAACCTCTGAGATTTACTACCTTGAAGAGGGAATAATTCATAATGTTCTGAAGTGAAATATTGAAAAAAAATTGTGATAAGAATGAAAAAATTCTACATGCAAGGTAAAAATATGAATAGCTCAAGAGTTTAAAAAACATACAGGAGCAGAAATACTACAGATAAGACTGTAACATTTACTGTGACAGAAGGAGTTCATACTTTAAACTATCATATAATGTGATCACAAACATATATGAGGTCATATATAGAAATTAAAGTATCATTTTAGCAGGAATTTTCCTTTTGTAGGTGAAACTAAGTGATACAAAATGAACAGATAAATAAATACACCAATAAATAACTAAATTAACACCTTTCCCTGACATGCAGTAAAAATAATTTTTTCCTAAACAAGCCAAAAAATATATATTATCAAACCAATCCCACCATGACCTTCCACTTTGCATGACATACATTACAATCATGTCCCCAGTAAGTAAAAACAAAAGTTCTCAATCAATATACTTACCATCTTCTGCATTCTGCAGGTTTTTAGCAGAAGACAGCTTTCTCCCGATATCCGCCAGTGTTCGGACAATGGGCAGTCCAGACCTCTGTCCACGGTGTTTATCGTGGAGGTGACGGTGTTTACAAAGAAGGACCTCCATCACCTGGTCCTTGTGCTCTGGGCTCAGGTTCCTATTGGCAACCATCATGTCTAACAGGATCCCTGGTAACAATATAATTTGAATCCTAACAAAAATTCTTATTTATGATGTAAACTGATGAGAAGATAAGGGATGACCACTTTGTCTAAAGGTTTGTCACATGTATCAGATTTCCTAAAGGAATAAAGTATTTTTTATTCAAAATGTAGAAAGATACAACAAAGTCTTCTAAAAAAAAAACAAATATTTGTCTTAAAATGATTATCAAAGTGTAAACTGACTGCCAGTAAATACAGCTTCAACTAAGAGTGAACCTTTTTCATAAGTTCCTGACAATAATGAACCATGACATAAAAATCAAAGAATCAATTGTATTAAAAGTATTACTTGTTTCCCTTTTTCGAACAAAACCCTACCTGTTAGTGAGACCAGATTGTTTGCTGTACAATCCAGTAAAACAGTTCCATTAATCAAGCAGCTTCTGGCTTCAAACAAAGAGTGTAAGGACAGTGCTGCCACGTGGGGTTTTGACCACCTTTCACCACCCTCTTCCAACTCCTCTTCAAATTTAATCCACCTAAATGATTTAAAAAAAAAACAATTCCCTCATATTTTACCACCAAAATGGCAGTTAATGCATTTATTCTGGAATTTGTGCTTGCCATCACATCATGTGACCTCCATAGAAGGCTATATTCTGTAATACTTAATCTCTTGAGAGAATGATAAAAAAAAAACTTTTTAGAAAAAAAAACAGGCCCTGTGGGACAATTTTGAATGTGGAAATGGATTCATACACCATTGGTAAGTATGGGAAAATTGTCCTTTACCCCAGGAAAACCCATTTTTTGCCAAAATGAACAGTTAAACAAAGTTATCCCTTGAATGACTGGTTCAACAATGGCTGTTAAAGCATATCATACTAAGACAAAAATCTGTCCAATTATTTTGTCTAAGTGTAATAACATTTCATACTAAGGACAAGATAATAGAAAAGGATGATTTTAAACTGAACATATCATACACCAAATATCTATCTTAACAACAATGTTTGACATTAAATCAATAGCAGCTGTTCAGGTACAAGTATTATACAACTTTAAATCTTCTGAGACTTTAGTACATAGCTCCCTTGTGTTATCAAAATTTAGCCTGATAAGAAAATTGCATAACTTTGAAGTTTTCCTCAACCAGAATATCTTGCGTAACCCATATCTGATCTTTGCTCTAGCATGCTTGATTAAACTCCCGCACTTGTTGTATACTAGTAGAAATATTTGGTACAGCCTCACATCTCCAAGTGTCTGAGGTATGCAAACAAAAAAGGTGACTTTACCTTCCCGTCTCTTTCCATTCGTATCCCATATCTGTGGAGAACAGTTCGTCCATCTCACAGAACAAGTCGTGGGTTTCATTTTCTGGGGTGTCTTCTAAACCAAGGAGAAACTGGACGCGTTCTGAGGGTGGTGTAGCTGCGGGTGACATGAACACACACATATATATATATATTAGGTTTTATTCAGTTACTGTACAAGAGTGACATGAGACATAGGTTATTGTTAACAGAATCTTAACATTTGGTTTAAGTTGTAAATGTGGGTGACAGAAAGACATTATGTTAGGTTATTATAAACAAAAACTTAATATCTGGTTTATGCTGTAAATGTGGGTGACATGAAGACCATATTAAGTTATTGTAAACAGAATCTTAACATCTGGTTAATACAGTAAATGAGGGTGACATGAGACATAGGTTATTGTAATTAACCGAATCTTAGAGACAATTCCCAGACCCTATCATACTAACTTTGGATCAAACTATCTCAAAGGGCGTTCTCGCTTAATTGCAATTAACCTAAGTGGCTTAGATGTCTGTCACGCCTACTGAAACTGATGGGGGGTAATTAACTATCGTTTAGCTGCTTTAGTAGGCATCCCAGACATCTAAACCACTTAAGCTGTAAGCAATTTAGTGAGAAACCCCATGGAGATGGACCGATCCTGTTAGATCGATCTAGGGATGGGAACCCAGTCTTAATATCTGGTTATGCTGTAAATGTGGGTGACACAAAGACAAGTTAATGAAAATAGAATCTTAATATTTGGTTGATGCTGTAAAGGAGTAGAATTCAATCTGAACACCACTGTCTTCATCTCTGAGCACTGTGTGATAGTGCCTTTGTTTTAAGTGAAAAAAAAGAGGAAAAGGAGATTACTGTCATCCCATTAAAATGGATGAAGATATCCAAGATTATGAGCACAAATAGAGTAAAAAAAGTCCTTCAGATAAATTTTCTCCTTCATTCCAAAAACAAAAACGATCTGTCGTTCAAGGAAATTAATTCAATTTCTGATGAGAAACAGAAACTGAGGAATCATTTTGGCAAATGGCAGAAAAAGAACCTCTGAAAACAGACACCAGGATAAGCTCAAATAAACATGTAAAATATAGTACAATTTTGTTTTCTAAGAAACTGCTGTTGTTACTAGTATATTTCATGCTACTGAAGGCAAAAGAGGCAAAAGTCAGACAGGCATTTATCTGGGATGGAGTGAAAGTGAAATATTGTCAGCTGAAACAAATCTATCCATTCAATGAAGAACTTATGTATGCAGACAGCATTTTATCAAGACTACAGACCACGTAGCGAAGTGACAGATGACTCCAAGTATCAAAAGAACAGTATGGAAGTGTGTGAAGGCCACATTTCATCACATAAGAACTAAGTTGACCCTGAAAGCATGTGAAGGTCAATGCTTGGTCACACTTTGAATATGGTGAAACTGAGAGTGTGTGATTTGGGGTTGTATATATGAGAACTAAAAGGACAATGAAAACGTGTGAAGGTCACAGTTTGCTCACATAAGAACTTGAAGGACAATGAAAACATGGGAAGATCACAGTTTGCTCACATAAAAACTAGAAGGACAATAAAAACATGTGAAGGTCACAGTTTGCTCACATAAGAACTTGAAGGACAATGAAAACATGGGAAGGTCACAGTTTGCTCACATAAGAACTAAAAGGACAATGAAAACATGGGAAGGTCACACTTTGCTCACATATGAACAATGGCGACAATGGATATGTGTAAAGGTCAATCTTTGCTCACAAGAGAATGTAGGTGCATGTATATAATACATAAATGAACCTACTTGGTGGCTTGTAACTTGGTTGATCACCCAGATCATCCTTATCTTTGTGTTTCTTTCTGTGTTTGCCATGTTTTCCTCCATGTTTGTGATGGTGATGGTGGTGGTGGCCTGCCTGGCCATTCTGGACACCAAATGGATCAGACCTATGACCTAGAAAATGCAATAAAAAACATTAGTTATCAGCCAATTATAAATGCCATATTCAAAATGTTATCAAAATCAATTTTCACGCTTTCTAAGATTATAAATGGACATAACCCCAACTTCATAAAATTACCTGATTTTATTTACACAAGTAATACACACTAGATTGGTATTTTTAAATGTGGTTATATCCATCATCCCCAGATTGACAAATTTTCTTGTCTAAATTAAATTAAGAACAAATTTTAGTTATCAGACAGTACTCCGTGCAATCCTGTATCTTTAGTACAAAAAAAAACAATGACAGAATTATTTCTATTTCATTTCAGGTTATTTTGTAATTTTCTTGTAATATAATGAGTTACCATAGCTGAGCATCTTTCATATTTAGTTATAATTTACAAAATATCATAATGTAGATTACAATGATCAAAATCTGTGGATTTCTTTAAAAGATTAGAAAAGATACGTAGACATGCAAATTTAATAGATGAGAGAAATGGGCAATAACTGCTGAATTCTAATTGAAAGGGAAGGGTGATGCTGAACCTAAATTTCAGTGATGTCACTCAATAAGACATTTATCCCTTAGGCTCCTTAAAAAATTGCATAACACTAGAAGGAATGGACTAATTTCTCCTTCTGGCAGAGACTTTTAGCAATTCCATAGACCATTTGTTTCTACTTTGCATTTTCATGCTATTATTTTAAAATCAAAACAGACCCAAAAACTGAATCTTATATACTCCACAAGCACCCCCGACTTATATGCTGAAAACCAATGTGGCTATAGATATTATCCCCCCCCCCCCTCCGTTACTCACCCAGCTGGACATAAAAGTTATGTATTTTTTAAAAAGTTTTATTACACCTTAAGCACCTAAACTGACAAGTATCCATCATGTTCAGATCCTTACTTTTTAAAATCGTGTTAACTGTTTCATCAAGATCACATCTACACTTGTTCACCACAGAAAGCTGTTGGTGATTTTTACTGACTCTATGTTATTAGGTAAGGGAGTTAGTGACACTCCTAGTGTTATCAGAAATGCCCCCCCCCCCTTTTTTTTAATTTTGGAAGTTAGTTTTATTGCCAAAGGAGAGAATAGGTTACAAGGGGTAATTGGATCTGCTGAAGCACTCCACAGCATAAATGCACTAATATACCTTTTCAAAATCTGCGCACTGTACTACACATACTACAAGTCTAAATACAAAGGGCCACCTAAAAGTCATAGGATCCTTCTACAGAGAAATAAGTATTAATGTACTCCGAAGTTTCTGGCAGATGTGGGATGTTTCAAACTATCAGTGTGTGTTTTCACGAGCTATATATGATATTCTTTAAAATCTTCCTCCAGCAACCTGAGAAAGAGCACTAAACAAACGTGTGCCTGCTGTATTGAGCTGGCATATATCACACAGGGCACTGGACCATACCATATAGGAAAGGTGCCCTCTAAATGGGTTTGAAGTCACGTTTCTGAATGAAGCACAATATTCATCCCTTTTTTTCCACGCTGAATCAATAAATACCTTGTTTGAATGTGTTGAACGTGTGATTTGATAGGTGACATTGCCTACTGGTCTGCACGTGCTTGCAAAAAAAAAAAAAAACATTGGGAATGGAATGGAAGAAGAATGACATGGAATGAAAAATGATTATTAAACTGTTTATAACTAAACTGACATTCCTGCTAAGTATTTTTCTTTTCTCGCTTGCTCATTTTTCATAGTAATGTTCAAGTTTTTGCCTTTACCCTTCTATCAAAAAGTTTCTAATGAGAGTTGCCAAAAATTCATGTAAAAAAAATGCCATTTATTTATTAGTTTCTCTCAATTAAATGAAAATGGGCCTAAAGTCAAATACCTTTTAATAGGGCATTAACCATTTTTACATCACCATTCAACCAGAGTTGATCTATAAAATGAATCATGATGTCTGAGCAAATTACACAATTGTATTACTCATTCACACTTTTTTTACCTTTCACAAACTCAGTCAATTGGCTAAACATGGCTTGTGTTAAGAAAATGAGTTCACAGAAACTAAAATCATAAAGATTTCTGCTGGCTTAGTGTGTATAGAGCATAGAGATAACTTGGTGATCACTTCTCTCAGTTGTGTATTGATGTAGGCACCAAACACGGTTTGATAGACATTTAAGCAGTAGGTAAATCTGCTAAGAGATGAACATCTGCAGAGATACTGACATCAACTCCAAGAACATGTCTCAAAATGATGGGGGGGGACTTTTATCAGCACAACATTTTAACATACTCTTGAGGAAGAAATACAGAAAAACACTTCACAAATACTTTTTTTTAACCCAGAGCTACTAAATGTTTGCATGGCTTTTAGATTTGAATTTGTAATAGGGATTTGGTGAAACCACTGCATACGAGAGTTTACTTAGCATTACACCAAGTAACCTCAGTACAAGATTTCTTTGTATTTTTTTTGTATAAAGCTATCTCTTAATGGATTTGTCACATGTTATCACAAAATGTCAACTTACCAGACTCACTTGTCAGTTATATTGCATTAATAAGAATATGTTACGTGTAGTCACGGCAACATCAACACGGCGACCATATCATGGAGACAGTAACAGCATTTGAAAGAGATTTACAAAACTAATTTGTGTAATAAATACAAAAACTAAAAGCACCCACAAAAGATAGCACGGGGAGATCTCTGTTTGTTGTTGTTTTTGTTTTTTTTAACCACAAAAGCAATTAATAATATGCAGTTATGCTGTGACTGTTGCTAATTTTGTGTTGATTGCCTCCTCAAACCACAAAAACAGCATGTCCTCATGTTTTTTTTTTCCTTTTTGCTGAAAAAAACATCTTTACCTGTATCATCTTTCAGCTATATCAAATTAGCATGAACAATGGAAGTACCCTAAACCTTTAGCATTTTAATAGAACAGCAAACTTTTATGTGTCTCAAATTCATTAAAACCTTCAGCAAAACATGAGTAATAAATAACTAAGTGCACATTTTCAAAGCAAAAGATTCAAATGTGATCTTCATTGGATAGAACCATGAATGCACTGGTTGATTGTTCAGAGCAATGACATAAGTCAAGTCAAATCTACTCAATTTCTAATTTCAAAGGATAACATGGCATTACATATCCTACGTACACTACAATCAGATTTGGTTGATGGATTAATGTGATATCTTTTTTGGGAGAGAGGGGGCAAATTCAAAGTAAATTTCTTGTATGGGATGGGTTAAATTGACTAGTTATAAAAACTTGAAAATTTCAGCACTTTTATTTAAAAATAAAAAGTTAATAATTTAAAATGCCTGAATCTGACACAGCCATATTAGGTGGCAAATTCATCAAGAGACTCATTTTCAAGTTTGATGAAATTTCCAGTGAAAAAATTACAGAATTGTCTTCCGAAAAAAAATTTTGAATACCTACAGTACTATATATATTTTTTTTTTTACTGTACAAGCTTATATTTCAGATAGACATGACCAGTTCATTCATTTGACAGTGGCAAAGCTAAGTATGATGTATCCCCTGGCTATAGAGTTAATATAGGTGTATACACAAGCTGTCAGGAGGCATAGCTGTGCACATACATTTGCACCAACTAAACAACAATAAAGCTATTCTACAAGATGAAATCAAGGTGGACATCTAAGGCTGTATTCCCAGAGCTTTTAGATCGATCTATCCCCGCGGGGAGTCTCACTAGATTACTGTGAGATAATCCGGCTTAAATGTCCGTCCCACCTACTACAAGCTGTAAGGGGGTAATTAACTTTCGTGTCCGCCCGGCTGACAGCTATTTAGCGTGAACCCCCAGGGAGTTAGGTCGATCTAAAGTAGATCGATCTAATCTCTGGAAATGGGGTCTAAATAAACACATAACTGTATCTTCTTTCCGGTGGGGTTGCTTTCACTAACTCAAACTCTTTTTGGAAAAATGTAACAGGAGTCAAATTAAAAAATTAGCAATAGTTCAATGTCGATTATGAGTCTTTTTTTTTATTTGTTTGCCCTTGACTAGTCAAATTTGCTTCTCATATGCTGAATTTTCAATCAAAAATGAAACTTTTTGAAACAGGGACAATCCAGAATATTATAAAATGTCTCAAATCATATAGATTAACAAATTAAACAAAAAACAAAAAAAAAAAATTGGAAGTTGATAGTTTTTTTCCATGATGTCAATTCATCTAACAATGTCTCACAACTGATAATTCCTCAAGCAGATAGTGTTATTAATTTATTTATTTATTTTTTTTTTTTATTTATTTATTTATTTTTTTCATGTTTCAGACAATATTACTTTTGGGGTTCTAACACCTAATGAAACTGACATTCTACCATCCTTCTCATCAATTCTATTTCATTCACTGCAAGATTGACCCTTTCTCTCAAACCTTTGGGGACAGAAGCACTTCGATCAAACCAATTTCATACACCATATCTGGCCATATATGGCTACCCAAATCTGAGAGATTGTGAATGGCAGTTTTTAATAGACTACTTCTTGCAGACTAAAGTTTCCCATTACATTCCTATTCAGGCGTGAATATTGAGTATATCTTGCAAAAGACAGTAGATTTTTTCTTTTTAGGTTGTTTGCTATGAATTAATCTATTCTAAGTGGAATATAAGGTAATGGGAGTGATAGTTTAAGGCTTAATTTGGTGTCAGTAATTGAAAATGTTTGATGCTATTCTTAAAATCTCATTTTTCAGTCGAAGTATAATCAACTTCATCAGTTTCTTATCAATCAAAATAAAAACCATTGAAGATTTTTTGCACATCGCTTGCTTATTCAGTTTTGTTCTTTGTGACGAAAACTTCCTTCCCTTTCATCTGATAATCAAAATTGTCCCCACAGTAATCTTAATGCATCCCCGAGGGTATATGTACATGTAATAAATTCGACTGACTGAGGTTTAAGAAGAATGTAATAATCCCACGCTTTGTACCCACACACTTTGTAAATGCAAGAAATGAATAAAGACAAGACACAGACAAATTCTTTTTTTTTCAGCTGAAGCTCATTTCTGACCATGGCTGTAGCTTTGGATCACACAAAAACTGGAGAAAGCTGCAAGAAGTAGAGAAACTGGATGCCAAACCCCCCCCCCCCCAATCTCTATTAGCTTATTATCAGTGTTTTTATCAGTTAAATGCCACTTTCTTTTTTCCTTAAAACTTTTCATTCTTTCATTTTCTGGTGGCTATCAAAGTTTTGCAGTTTCTTGGAATGAACATTTGTAAATGTTTTTTTTTTTTTCATGATATGTAATCATCTATATCACTGACTAGTCTCAAGACTCAGTTGCCACTCGTGGAAACTATCTTTAGTATCTTGACGTTGTATTCTACAAGACAGATAACAAATCACTGAAGTCTCATGAAGACTACAGTAGTCTGGGCAGTAAGGTAATTGCTTAAACAACTGACAACCATACTAATTCCTAATAAAGGCTACAGCTGTAGTTTCCATTGTACTAAGGACATGTGATTCCACAATCTGTATCAGGTTTTTGTACTTGGGGTGATGTGAGATACATATTTATAGGGATGACCTGTCAGATCTGAGAAAAATGAAAAGACTAAGTAGACAGTGCTACAAAAGACTGGGATGCACATATATGGTTTTAGAAACCATGTAACAATAATCCTCCGAAAACTCAAAGGTGGAAATCTCACCAACAGCAGTCTCCAGGCATAACCAGAGAATATCAACAACAACCAAAAGAATAAAAGATCTCATTAACTATGAATCAGTGCCACACTCTTTGAGAAGGACAGACCAAGTCGAATATGAAAATGGATCTTTTTGAGCTCATATTAAGACCTTCTCCAAACATCCATACAAACCTTATATTAAGTGTCATACAACAGTGCCAGTTCATCGTCTATTTGATTTTTTATCAAAAAGCTAAATGTTCTTCTTTCAGAATCTTATTTCATTCATGACCATGACTGGGTTGAAGGACCCTGTGTGCATTAGTACCCAGATATCAAGATGTCTGCACAAGCAGACAAGACACCAGTCTGAATTCAAAGACATATCACTCAGTAACGAAGACATTATAAAGAACCGAGTGACACCGCACATATATCACAGACAAAGCAGAAACTGAGGAAGATTATTCTTGCAAAAAAGGGCAAAAGTAAAAATTCTTTGACCAAACAATGACAAAAGATATTGTCAAAGAAGTATTTTCAATCTTCCAAGTCCAACGTGTACCATCTAGAGTATACCTCTGAGTAAACTAGTTTATTTTCCAGGACAAAACTTTTTTGTATGAGCACCTGATAACCATTCCTTGTTCATTGTGCAACCATTCGTCATAAAAAAATTTATATAATAAAATAATCCTGATAAAAAGGGGGAAAAAAGCTGTCTGCTAACCAGGTTCAGAACAAAAATAGCTATAACATGCAATATTTTTATCTGGCAGACAGGTCCAACTTCTATAACAGGGGTCTGAATATGAGAATGATCAGTTTACCACTATCATTTACCACCTGGATCCTGTCTTTATCTTTATTGCTTTTATCCCACCTGCTACAACTAAAACCTGTATACACAGGAATGCCTCCAGACTCATTGGGTTCCCATTTTTTTCTTGTAAAAAGGGGGCCAAAACTAGAAGCTCAACGGTAGTCAACCATGACTTCAATCCTGGTTTTATTCCTTTTTCTTTTAAAAAAATTACATCCCCCTTAATAGTGCACCCCACATGAACTCTTAGCTCTACTTTGAATATGTGCATGTGACTCCTCAGTGCTACCTTAGAGATTCAGACCCTCTTATTCACGTGCGACCCAAACATGAATTGAGAAACTGAACAAAATGGCTTTCTACGTTTTAAACATTATGTCAATATGCACAATTTGTCTGCATTCAAAGCATACTGAAAAGCTAACTTATATTCTACATCCAGTCGTAAGTTTGAGTTTTGATTATTTGCTTTGCTCTTTAATAGAAAAAAGTCATTAACAGTGAGGTTGCCAGGACTCTCTATCTTTTTTGATGGTGATTTCCATATACAATGTTAGTACTGTTTATAAAAAATTAAAATGTTATTTTAAACAATACCATAAACTTAAACTTGAATTTATTAATACTGATAAATCAATTAGTAAATAAATAAATCAGCAAAGACAGTAAAGGTCATATTTTATTATTTTGATAAAATAGAAGTTTGTTTGTTTGTTTGTTTGTTTGTTTGTTTGTTTGTTTGTTTTTCCCACTTTCATAAGACTGAACAAGCCACACAAAGTTCACGTAGGAATCAATTCCTATTCCAAACACCTGCTGCCTAAAGATTTTGGTAGGCGTCTCACCCAGAAAAACTGCCCAACAAACAACTAAATATAAATATATACCAGTGGTTGTGAAGGTGGTAGCTATAACAACTAAATATAAATATATACCAGTGGTTGTGAAGGTGGTAGCTATGGAGGAATCCGTATACATGAAAAGTTTGTATATTGGTGTATACATTCTTCCATAACATAATCCGAAGAAGAATCCATAGATAACCTGGGCATGCCAACTTATGATATAAGATGACACAATGCAAAGATAATTAAATGTGTGTGTCTGTGTGCGAACACGTGCTTAGATAAAAAGAATGTATCTGCAGCAAATAGAGCAAATCTTATCAAATCAAAAATCTTCGGATCTATTAGTCCTTTCATTAAATTGATTTCTCCCCAGGAAACTTCACTGAATCAATCCCGTTTTCTCCGAGACCAGATTGAATCAATTTAAACATTAATCTGATTTCCTTGATATTTCACAAGGAAATTCTTAAACAGAACATAATGACTTGTATTGATTGCAGAACTAAAGTGGCAATTCTTCTGAATGCAATGCAGTATGTAAAACAGCAGTGCAGCCTACAAAATCAGGTTAAATCGCAGAGGTGGTGGCTGAAGCAAACAGTGCAGTTATACAACACACCACATTGGCCGACAGATGACGATTGTTGTAATCAACACATACCTTCGATGTCGATATCCTCCAGCGGTCGCCATGTTAAAGTACCTCTATCGGGTATTGCCTCATCATCTGCCATGATGTAATGAATCGGCTGTCCACGGGCATTTAACTCAGTCTATGAGAGAGTAATCTCCTGTAGAACGTCTGAAAATATAAAATGTTCAACGCTTTAGAGCAATGACCATGAATTTTCCTATTCCTATAATGTTTTTGGAAATGCTATCATTATCTCCTAGTTAAGGCCTAGTATGAGAAATTTCCTATCCAGACCTCCAGAAATTACCAAACATTTGACTAATTAACTACTCACAGGTCCTGCATTAACTGCTTTGTCAGATCTTAAATGATTACAAATGAGGTTAACATAGTAGTTCAATTAGAACCCTGACATATATTAATTTCATCATCAGTTTTCAGCATACTTTCCATCCCTTATCCCTGCCCCTAAAAAAACTATACCCCATAACCAGTGTTGTCCATGAAATTATACCTTATTCTAAAAGGAAGGCTATCTTAAATAAGCACAACTTGAACTTCATCATCACACTAAAATCATTTTGACAAACCTCTCAACTGATACCAGACTTTTACAACAAAGATACAACTACCTCAATAAAACCAGCCCCTAATGCCTCAAACAAAAAAACTCGCTCTCTGCTCCCTCACAATGATATAGATTTCTCACCTGACACCCAACATCAGATCGGACTTTTCCCAAAAAAGAAAAGAGGGTGTGCGTGTCCTTAGCAGTCATTTTATTGGTTACATGTATTGTGTGCTGGTTTTTCTATGATTCACCTTCCCAGGCAGGTGAGGGTACGTCTGACCTGGCACGCTCACGCCCCTGATCCAGGAAACCAGGCTGGGGATAATCTTTCCCACCTGGGAAACACTAGGGGTCAGACATTGAAGAAGGTGGAGGGGGAAATGTTAATTTTTTTTTTAATTAATGAAAATAAACAGAAAAGTGTTTGATTATACTTATGGTATATTTCAATACTTTAGCTCATTCATAAAATCGAAAATATTTCCAATATTAAGACAGTTTGCCTTATATTTTCATAGCTGTCTACTTTTCAACCAAGAAGTAACTGAGTACAAAATTATTTACCCAATTAGTTCCAGGCTCATCCCCTTGCAGACATAGACAACCTATATATATATATATAATAATGGTCAATTTTGCACTAGATATCAAAGCTGGAGAAATGACAGATCAACCTCAAACATACAAACTGTTCAAAATGCACTTGTTTATAGACAATTATTTGCACGGATGATCTACCCAATCACAAATGTTTCTGAACTTAATGAAAAACACATCCACCTCGGGGACAGACAGGTGGCCGTATTGCAAGTCATCACACAGCTGGGGGTATGTAACCTTACATGTACTTAAACTGATCATTACCTAGAATGGGTCTATTAATATACAGCCCTTGTTTCTTGGAAGTGCTTTAGTATTAGAATATAAATACATTCACTCAAATTACAGGGCAATGTCTTTGGATATAAATCTGTGCAACTCTTATGTCATCATATCAAAACGAGATTTTGCAACCTTTCATCCTTTATATAATGGTAATTTCAGTTCAAGTAAGAATGCACACAAAGGGTGTCTTGTATGATAACTACAGGTTTTTTATAAACTATATATAGTTATCTATGTGTTTTTAAGTTGAAAAGTGATACTCAGTAAATACACTAATTCTTGACACCCAAGAAAAAATCCATCAAAACAAATGACCGTTTGCAATGCCATGCCCTCATGAAATACTACTAGATAATGACTTTAGGTGTCCATATTCCAAGGATAGTGGTTCCATTTAAGTGATAACCATTCAAACATTCCCTCCATTTTGATTGATCACAAATTGATTAACATCTTAAGTCTCTTAAAATCAATCTGTTTTACTATGCAAAAGAAAACTACAGTTATCATGAAAATTGTTTGGCTACTGTATGCTTTGCTATACATCAAGTGTCCTCTCCTATAAACCTCTTTGGCCCCATTAAGAATAGAGGACTAACTAGTCCGAGGGTCAAATATGGCCAACCCACTTGAATAATCCCCACGGGATATCTATTCAGTGTCTATTAGTGGATTACATGGCACGCTCTGTAGTGGGTCGCCATATTTGACCCTCAGACTAGTTACAGGCCTACCCAACTACCAGACTCGGCACCGAATGATCCAGAATTCACCGTTAAATCGGACCACACTACCCGTTTTCAGGGTGTATATCAGATCGCATTACACAGTATCAGACGCGACACCGCTCTTGCCTAGTCCGCGATGTGACAGTGACGATTCTTAGCGGGGTTGAAAGCATTGCATCATCACTCAAAATTTGTAGGGTATGATACTGTGTAATGCGATCTGATACATACCTTGAAAACGGGTAGTGTGGTCTGATCTACCGGTGAATTCTGGATCATTCGGTACCGAGTCTGGTAGTTGGGTAGGCCTGAGTTAGTCCCCTATTCTGAATGGGGTCTTTAAGATGGCATTTTATACAATCACATACACCTGGAACACGACCAATGAGTAAAGAAAATAATGCATGTGGCACCAAAAAAAGCTTAAAGGGACATAGTTTAAGATTTTTTATATAACATACATTAAGCACTCCAACCACTTGTTGTTGAACTTACCTAAGGACAAGTGATATTTATTGATCATTTGTAACAGATAAAATGCCAAGAATTAATGTCTCTGAATATAATTATCTATCACCTTCTGATGAACCTCGACACCTGTCAACCATCCTGACATAGTTTTGAATCGCATGCAACCCAGAAGTCAGTGTTTGAAAATGAATCAAAAGTAAGGAGGAATCTGAAAACCCTACTCTTAAGCATGGGTTAAGTTTTTTTTTATAAGAAATTTTATCCAGTATTGATAAAGAATTGTGTCAAGGAGGATCAAAGGTTGGTAAGTCAGAGAAAAACTGTTTACCAATGGAATGAGGAGCATTTTCAAAGGAAAATCTTATACTATGCATCTTTAACTAACCAGGCTCCATACAAAAGTGTCACAAAAGTGAAGAATTCATACCTCAGGCGTTTAATCAAGAATATTGCAAAAAAAAAAAATATAGGAAACTCAAATTTCTTCATCAATAAAAAAATGTTTGGCTGGCACTTTTCCTTAAAAAATCAAACAGTTTATTTGCTTCTATTTAAAGTTTCACAATAAACAAATTCAGTAAGACTGCATTCCCATAGATTTAGATCGATCCATCTAGATCGACCTAACTGCCTGGGGGTTCATGCTAAATTGCTGTCAGCCGAGCGAGCACAGTAGTTAATTACCCCCTTACAGCTTTTACTAGTTGGGACAGACGGCTAAGCCGGCTAAGCTGACAGTAATCTAGTGAGACTCCCCACAGGGATAGATCGATCTAAAAATCTATGGGAATGGGGTCTAAGATTCGGTTAAAAATCCTACTCACTATTACTCTCAGACTGTCATTGATGAGCTCAAATAAAATTATGTATAATATTACTGTATATATATCACATAAGCCATCTGCTGTTACCCAATTCAACTATCATTGGATCTGTGTTGGCGTGCAAAAAGCAATTGAACAGAAATAGAAATACTTAGTAAAGGTTTATGAATTAATGTGAAGCAAGTGATCATAACCTGGCCTACTAGTAATGCATAGTGTTCTTTAGATTTATTTTATTGCTTTATCCCCCCTGTAAATGTGATATTTATACATGAAGTGGTCACTTTTTATCTAAATTGGCAATTCTGCTCCTAGTAGTAAAGCAGTCACATGTCTTTGTTTCTGTTAACTGCAAAATTAGCCTTCTTGCTTTGAAATCATCCTTTCTGACTTCATATCATCTTCCTTGGCTTAATATTATCACATTATGTTTGGCATAATCAACTCTGGCTTGATATTTTCCTCCCTTATTTTGGGGGGGGGGGGGGATCCAAGCTTTAGCTTTAATAGCTGACCAGATATTTTCCTCTTTGACTGGGGTGTACCTTTCTTAACCTGATATTATCTCTCCTGATATTATCCTTAACATCCTGGTATTATCCTTCCTGGTTTGATATTATACATCCTATATCATACTTAATGGTTTGATATCATCCTTTACATCATATCCTTTAAGCCTTTGACTGAGCTATACAGTTCAGCTATTTTCCTCTGTCCTTAATTCCCCTACTTTTTCTATTCATGCTAGTTCATTGTAATGTAGGCAGGGAAAATCAAATCAATGTGTGGATCTCCATCTTAGACACTGGGTCAGCAGACAAACTTCAATATATTGAGACTGCAGTCTTCCATTAATATTTCATAATCAAAGTACTGTTATCCTTAATTCTATCTGAACTTTTGTCCATTCAAAGCAAAAGGGCACATGGTATTTTGTCTTTATTTGCTGCAGACCTTCAAGCTCTTTAACGCACACTAATTAATTAGGCAAATACTGATTGATTTTGGCAAAAGGAAATGAAAAATGTTTTAATCACCATTGTACTATTAACTTGATGCTAAAGAAGTTGACTTAGCTATAACATGCACAAAAAAGTCTCACCATAGATTCATAAGCAACTTGACAACAAATGCCAAAACGTGCACATAACGAATAGTTTATACATGTCTGCAACACAGCACTCTATCATGGATATTTATCACTTAGCAGTTTTGTGTTCATGATTTACTGTATATTCTTAAATGCCAGTTATGCAGAGCAACACATTTAACGCCTATATATAAGAAGATGCATCCTCAACAAGAACCTGCTCTTTTAGATATTGGGTTTTACAGTCACACGATAGCCCTATGATTATGCATGACATATCGCCTACACACCATGCTCAGACCATTTCCCCTTAATACACATGTTTCCTTGATCAGATTCCCTACAGGTACAGTTAAAAGTACAGTCTCTGAAGTCTGCAGCATTCAGCACTGCTCAACCAAACTCCTGGAAGTTCACAGTTTAACTAACTTCAAGACCATTCAGAATGAGAAGAGCCAAGTGCTACCTAGCCAGGACTTAAATATGGCGAACCTACTAGTACAAACCTACGACCACTTAATCCTGTAATGGTCTCTCCCCCTCTCAAACGCTTCCCCACGCGTCGTTCCACGCCTGGGTGAGATTTAATTACTGTGCCC